AAAAAAAGTGCGCGAAATTTTGTTTACATTTGTTTGTTTGGCGTCAATTTTAATATGGAGCCTACAAAGGAGCATTTTCGTCATATTTAACTTTATTATTTCCGTAAAGGAAAAAACGCGGAGCAGGTTGCTAAAAAGTTACGAGATGTGTATGGTGATGAAGCCTTAAAAGGAAGACAGTGTCAAAATTGGTTTCGCAAATTCCGTTCTGGAGATTTTTCACTTACAAATGAGCCACGTTCAGGTCGGCCAAATGAAGTTGATGATGACCAAATCAAAGCATTATTCGAATTGGATCGTCATGTAACTGAGCGTGAGATAGGAGAGAAGTTAAATATACTAAAATCAATCGTTCATTATCACATAAAAAGTCTTGGACTGGTGAAAAAGCTTGATATTTGGGTACCACATGTATTGAAAGAAATTCATTTAACACACCGAATCAACGCTTGTGATATGCACCTTAAACGCAATGAATTCGATCCGTTTTTAAAACGAATCATAACTGGAGATGAAAAATGGATTGTTTACAACAACGTTAGTCGAAAACGATCATGGTCCAAGCATGGTGAACCAGCTCAAACCACTTCAAAGGCTGATATCCACCAAAAGAAGGTTATGCTGTCTGTTTGATGGGATTGGAAGCTGCTTCCAAGAAACCAAACGATTAATGCGGATGTTTACTGTCAACAATTGGACAAATTGAATACAGCCATCAAGAAGAAGCGACCAGAATTGTTCAATCGTATAGGTGTCATATTCCACCAAGACAACGATAGACCGCACATATCTTTGGTCACTCGCCAAAAACTGAGCGAGCTTGGCTGGGAACTTTTGATGCATCCACCATATAGCCCTGACCTTGCACCATCAGACTACCATTTATTTCGATCTTTGCAGAACTCCTTAAATGGTAAAACTTTCGGCAATGATGAGGCTATAAAATCGCACTTGGTTCAGTTTTTTGCAGATAAAGGCCAGAAGTTCTATGAGCGTGGAATACTAAATTTGCCAGGAAGATGGCAAAAGGTTATCTAACAAAATGGCCATTATATATTTGATTAAAGTTCATTCTAAGTTTTATTAAAAATGCATTTACTTTCTTTTAAAAAATCCGCAATTACTTTTTGGGCAACCCAATATGATTTGATCAAGTTCGTATACAAAAATACTTCAGTTTTTTTTTATCTATGCAGATATTTCTGAATTCCAAGGCGAATTTATAGATGTCGAAGTTGTCACATCAAGGCAAATTCACACACGGTAGTAGCAAGAATATAAAAACAAAAACCTGTGAATTTTGTTTGTGTAATCATAATTTTGAACAGTCAAAAATGAAAACGGTTCAATGTATTCTTTTTGTGTAATTTTTTTAAAAGGAAGGAAGAGCAAGAAGAGCATCATATGATGTGACAACTTCACCTTCTATAAATTCGCTTTGTGTCTCATCATATGAGTGCTTATTCTTTCTCCAATTTTAGCAAATTGCACAAACAAAATACTTTGAAATATATGTTTTATCGTTTGTAAATTTACCTTGCTGAACTCTTTAACATTATTTTAAAATGAAATTCTCCAATTGCTTTTTAAATTTTTTTTTTTTTAAATTATTAAATTTCCGCTAAAATTACAAAAAAAAAGTGGATGTCATTTGGTTTTGAAAAATTTCACATTTTTAACTTTCAAATCCAATAGGATCTCCAAAAAAATACGACTTTGAGGTATCCAAAAATTATCAAAATTTCATTTTTATTTTTTTACTTAGTAGTCCACACCATTATACAATAATGTGAAGGTATTCTCATTCTCTCTTCGCCGTCGGCTTCATAGCTATCCGACTTTAAACGTGTTTCGGCTTTTTTGTGCAACCGACTTCTCTTAACAAAAATCTACCATTTTTAAACAAAAAATATGAGGAAAATTTTCATTTTTTTTCAGTATTCAAATATTCAAAAATCACGCATTTTCCAACCCTTGATAGTGATTTTTGTAGTACACCTTTGGAAGACTGTAGGAAGGTATCAGAAAGAGAAGAGATTAACCCATCAAAATTCAAATCGAATTTAAGAAGGTGAGGAGCTGGCTGAATTTGCAAATTAGGCTCAGAGCTTTAGAGATGTTTTAAGGAAGTTTTTTAAGCAAACAGGATATTGTTTTAATAGTTATTAATTTTTTAGAGCATTTACAAAAATCTCAAAATCACGCTTGAAGTCGATTGAACTTAAAAATACTTTTGAATTCAAATTTACCGCCAATTATATTGATATTAGTCAGTTAGTTAGTTAAACAAGTTGTTTGAACTCTCGATGATACCTATGTTGGTTCTACGAAGAAGATTCCTCTCACCTTTCTAGATGCTCCAACAAGTTGGTGTATTGAACGAAATTCAGGAGATTAATGATGCTAAGCAATCGGAGAAGAAATGCCCGAGAAATCAATAACGGAACGCAGAGTTTACTGACTACCTCTATCTGGTCAACTCATAGACCTCGCGGTTCTCTGGGTGTGCCTATGATGACGGACTTAGGGCATGTAGTTGAGAAAGTCTAAAATCTTTATTTTCATATTATTTACCTATCTACCAAATCCCCTTCTTACTTTTGCTTGAAACAAATATTTTAATTGATCCCTACTTGTATTATCTGCCCTCCCGCAGAGAGGAGAAAAATGGCTGCCTGCAAATTTTATTTTCAACGCGAGCAGTATGGAAAAAATACTGGGAGTTGAAAAGGGAGGCTTCATGCAGCAAAAGAGAGACACTGGAAAAAGTGCGTACTAAAAGCTTAACAAGCTTGCCGACAGAGTTAATGCATTAGCTAACTAAAGACCGAAACATACTGATGTAGGAAAGGGAAATGCGATCTGCAGATCAGTATTCAGTATAAATATACTGAGTTTATGCAGAGAACTCTTCTCCTGCTTGCGTTATTGTTGTGATAAAGATATCATAGATGGCGAACCCGAGCGCCCTATCGATGTTATGACTTAAACGTTCTTTCTCCCGACTATAAAGATGTTCCAATAGCGATCGCCTACTTGAAAAATAAAATAACTACGGAAGCTCTTGTATTCTCGACTGCGCTGCTCAAATACGGTGGCGAAGAGCAGACAAAGTTTATGTATGAGCTTCTTTTTTTAGAATATGATCGAACGAAAATATGTCTCACGATTTGAACTCAACCAATCCATAAGAGGTTAGAAACCACAATCTACGTCAAGTGTCGTGAAAAAAGTTCTCTCAATAAAGCATGTAAGATCTCATCTATCCATTTATGTGAAAAATCCAAGCATACCTGCAACCGATTAATAGAACCTTATCTAGGTGACTTTACAATGAAACCAGCATTAACACTAACAACAATGTTAGTCTTGAAATCCAACGCAGCCACTGTTGCTGTTTTCGACGAACAAAGGCTTCTTGACTTGTATAGGTCACTCATCATTTTTTGGGTGATGACGGCACGACTCATCGGGCGCTGGGAGCATGCGAGTGAAAGGTTTGTGGCAGATACTCGGTACTTTGCGCGTTAGCAACAACGAATACCGCGGGCGATGGAACGATATCCTGTTCGAGTTATTCCACGATATTGACAAATAAAATATGTAATTTGTACTTTTTAACCGCTGAAACGATTTTCGGCCGAGTTCCTCGTCCAATGTGTGATGTGCGTCTTGATGTTTTCCAACAAATGGAGAGACCTACAGTTTATTCCAATACGCCTCCGAACGGTTGGTTAATATTTATTCGTGGAGGGATTGACTTTCCCCACCGAGGCCGAACGCAATGAGAAAAATTTCCTATTTCATTTCCTATAATATTTTGGACGTTGGTTAGTCCGGAACACGCTTTTCTCATCCCTGTTGTTGTTGTAACCGCAAAAATATTCCTCAAACTACTTTTTGTGAAATGTTGCGGGAGTGACAGTCCTTGGCCGTATAAAAAAATCCGGGTCGTTCCGATATAAAGACCCGACTGTAGCGGCAACTATTGGATTTTAGTCGCCTCTTACGACAGGCATGCCTTACCGCGGGTAAATTCTTGAAGCCCTAACCAGCAGGGGTCACTCGGTCACTCGGCCGCTGCGGCTGCGGCATTGACATAGTTCAGCGGCTCTGGAAGCGTATTTAAAATGATTATTTATTAGTTTCGGGCCTCACTACAGGAAAGTGCGATCCTTCAGTTAAAAAGCAATTAGGAAAAAATCTCAAAACATTTCAGAATTTTAACCTAGCCTTAAAAATAACTCAGGTTCATTGGTGACGACAAGTTGGCTACTCGCTGGGTGCAACGACGTCAGCACACCTTCACACTTCTGTATTGACCTACGACTTGCTGTGAGAATGGTCGGCACTTGGGCGTGTTGTTGGTTTACTATTGTTAGCTGTTGTTGGTGTAAGCAAGTTGCTGCCGGTGCTGCTTGCGCTGCTGCGTAATTTTGTTTTTCGTCGAAGAAAACTTTTACTAGCTCGTAAATAAACTTGCGAAAAAATTTGCGCCACAAATAACTAACGCATAAATAAAGTGTGTAGCACAAACTAAATGCATACATACAAACATGCGAATGCATACAACCGTTAAACGTAGTCACCTGGTTGTCGTAATCGTCGTCGCAGCTGGCGAAAGTTACCTTAGAGCAATTTTCCAGCGAAATGCACAGTTAATTGAATTTTTTTTATTCGTATTAAATTTGCTGGAATTTCTGCCATGGAAATTTGCTTAGTCCAGCAGTTTCTCACACTTTTCACACATTTCTTTTAATACAATAATTTGCTCTTTAATTAGAAGCATATTTCTTCTCTATTTCTTTCACACACACATATTATATAAACTCACGCATACATATGCGGTTGCGCGTAGAAATATAAAAAGTATATTTATTTTTCTTTCTTTTAATTTACTTTCCATTCACGACAATTTCTTATCTTTTCTCGCATTTCCATTTTCGCGCTTTCAATTGTTTTTCGCTAATTTTTAATTTAAATTTTTTCTCTCTTTGCAGATTGGATTTCAGTCGCAATTATACCCATTGCAATGCCTCCCTGCTGGTCAACGACACACTGGCTATGTCTGGCGATCAGCCGACTTGGTTGAAATTGTTGCCGCCTCGCATGCACACACCGGAGGTCATATTGAACACCTGGTTGCATTTGGGTGGCGCTCCACAGGCGCCGATTGGACTTATCATCGAATTACCGCCGGCACAGAGTGGCACGGGTTTCACAGGTTGTTTGCATTCGCTGCGGATCAATGAGGAGACACGTGAGATATTTGGGTGAGTATTTGCCGTAATTTTTGAGGAGAGTGTAGATTTTATATGGAAAACCATGGAGAAATTTCAAATAATCTTATGAGACTCTTGACATTAGAAGTCCTGTGGACAAATATATTTCCATTCGCCATTTGTATGATCAGCCTGCTCATGGAGAGTTTCCGCAGAAATACAATTTAGATTGCATATACCACATTATCTAAAATTATTTGCACCTTCTCACAGACAACATCAGATCGGCAGTTCTAATACTTGCTTCCATTTGCATCCCCAACTTGTCAGAACGAAATCGCCTGTGAAAATAACGGCAGCGTTCTTTTCCATCTCTTCTTTCCCGATCCAACAGTGAGACAGAGAAATATTTATAGAACCTTACGCTTCCTTTAAAAGGATCTTCCTCTCTTTTTTTATCTTTCTTTCTACTTCACTCCCTCACTCCCCCTCCCTCTCTCTGTCTCTCTTTCTGTCTCTCTCTTTATTTCTCGCTCTCTGTCTCTCTCTATGTCTCTCTCTTTCTCTGTCTCTCTTTCTATCTCTCTCTCTCCCTCGGTCTCTGTCTCTATCTCTTTCTCCTTTCTCTCACTCTCTTAACGTCTATTTCTCTCTCTCTCTCCTTTCTCTCACTCTCTTAACGTCTATTTCTCTCTCTCTTTCTTGAGGCTATAATTCGAGAAAGTTTGTATATTTCAAATTATCCGTACCGCGCAACAGGGCTTAGCATTTTGGTCCAATTTGATTAGGCATTTGAGCACAACTCACTAAACGCTAGTAATACAAAGGAAAATATTTATTCAAATGGCTATAAAAGCAGGTGCAGCCCTACTTCACTCGCTCTATTACACTTCACATTCAACCTTCAGGATAACTTGCTGTCCTACATAATTCCCAAGTTCCAGCTATAATGTGTCTCCTCCCAGCAGTAAAGAGATCTATTTTATTAATATTAAGTCCTACGTAGTAGGACTATGTAAGTAGTGAGGCTGATTCCATAAAAACCGTATATCTCAACTTTTTTTTAAATAGAAGTCTGCCATCGCCTTCAAAATAGTCCCCTTGGGCAGCTATACAATGATTCCAGCGCGTTTTCCATACTTCGTAAAATTTCTGGAAGGCTTCGACTGAGATGACCGCGAGTAATCTCGTCACGGTGCCTGGATGTCCTTAATCGACTCAAAATGTGTACCTTTGATCACCGATTTAGTTCTAGGGAACAAAATAAAAGTCACAGGGCGAAATATCGTGTGAATAAGGCGATTGTTGCAACATTGCAATCCCTTTAGAGGCCGTGATGAAGAATCCAGTTACGAACGATATCTGAGCGCACTTTTTAAACTCTCTATGCCATCAAAACACCTGAGCACGACTCAAGAGAACTTTCCGAAGCTGCACGACACAGCAGGCGAACTAAACAAGCGATGGCAAATATCAGGTGAACAACTTTGCTTCCGCCGTTTTTTTCCAAAATCAAAAGCTTTATTGCGAAAAAGTGCTTACAGATATATTATTCAAAGTATTGTCCTTCGCTAGCGACAACTTTCTTCCATCTTTCCGGCAATTTTCGGATCTTCTTTTGACGCTATCCATGAAGCAATCCATTTTTCCAATTCTTCGAAGGATTGAAAATGTTGATCTGCCAGGCCGTGTGCCATCGAACGGAATAGGTGGAAGTCAGAAGGGGTGACATCTGGGGAATACGTCGGGTGGAGCAAGACTTCACATTTCAGCGTTTCCAGTTACTTTTTGACCACTTTTGCGACGTGGGGCCGAGCATTGTCGTGTTGGAGGATGATTTTGTTATGTCGCTCTTGATATTGTGGCCGCTTTTCTTTTAACGCGCGACTAAGGCGCATCAGTTGCGTTCGTAGTAAATCACATCGAGCTGATCCCACCAAATACAAATCATAACCTTGCTTGTCTTCGACATCGAAATCACCATTTTTAAAACGTTGAAACAACTCCCAACACGTTCTTTCACTCAGAGCAGCATCACCGTAAGTTTCTGAGACCATTCGATGCGCTTCAACTGCATTTTTTTTCGAATTGTAACAGAAAAGTAAAACTTCCCGCAAATGGCGAGAATTAGGCACATAACCGGACATTTTCGAGTGTGAATAATACGAAAACAAGAACAACTGTCACTGAAATGGTGATGACAATTCGTTAGGCACTGTCCACACTCACTTTAAAGGCGTTATCATCTGTGTATTTCAACCAGCCTCAGCCGGTGCAGCCACCTATCGGAAAACGGCGGAAGCAAAGTTGTACACCTGATATATGAATGGAGAGGAGAAGGGCGCCGGGAGAAGAGAAAGGCTCACAAGGGTCACCACAATTGCGGCAATATAATCAATCTCATTACATAATTGTCACACCTCGTAATATCGCTTTGATAATTCTTTGGTACTTGGTTTTGTTTGAACTTAGGGCGAATGTTTGTACTGCTAGGAAATAAACCCCTTGTCTATTTGCTTCCTTCTTAAATCGCCGCTCGACGTTTCAATGATGTTAAGAGCACATGAATAATCGATTGATTGAAACGACAAAAATGCCTTTGTAAAATATAATCTCTCTCCGACATCAAATTAAATAAACTATTATATAAAGCTCTTCTACTTCCTCTCAAAGTTCGCTAATTTTAATTCCTGGCAGTACTTGAGACGATCTCAGTAGAGCGCCGAACTCAGAAACTCGCTTTTGGCTTTGTGGAAACTTTTACAATGCCACTAACAGGTGCATTTATATATATATATGTTTAAGCATTTGCAAAGAGTAACTTTGAGCTTTCGCCAAAAAAAAGTCGCCATTTTCAAGCTTCAATGAATGACAAAGAATTTTCGTCGATAAGTTTTTCTCAGACGAAAAAGGGACGAAATATTCAACGACTAACATTATTTAAGTGCACTAACAGCGCAGCTTGTAATTTGAGTACAAAAAAAACTACAACAATAACGAGAAGAAAAAAAAAGAAATACACTCTCTTACTTAGTTAAGCATATCTCGTAATTAATTTGTAAAGTTTGGGTTGCAGCAAAAGTTTTCGATAACTAAACTCATTTGGTAGACTCGACTCGACTCGACTCGTTGCTGCACTCAGAAATTAATTTAACTTTTCAAAAATGTCAATTGTGTGTGCCACTTGACCTCGGTGCGGTGGCGAGAGAGCACGAGAGTGAATGCGAGAGTGAGAGAGGGTTCAGGAAGGTAAGAAAAGAAGCAGAGAAAAGTGAATTGATGCCACTTACAGGGCAAAGATGAGACCTGCTGCAACCCAATGGCTCTAAAGTGCAGTTAAATACTCACAAAACACATGCACACATTGCATACGTGCATAGCATACTAGTGCATGTACGTGGAGAGTGTGGAGAGTGTCCATTTTAGAGTGTGCTAATTTAAATGTCAATATTAGCTGGAATGCGAGTGCATACATAAATATTTCAATAGTTTGTACTCACTCTCACTACTCACTGTACGCTCGCCAACCGCACGCTGTGCAACTGACCCAACAACCCATTAACTAACCCGCTGATGGCCATTGAGGATGAATGCACTCAGCTGTGTTGTGTGTGTGTGTCTTTGGATTTGGGGAGAGGGGGAGTGTGGTAATACTAATACTGGCGATGTAGCGTGCTTGCGATGTGCTTCACTACAAGTCACGTGCATTCGCCGTCGATATCAATTGCGTTGCCCCCATCGAGATGCATAAAATATAACCAAAGGACCAGCCCGCATCACCGAATTGTACCTAAAATTTTCGTTCTACCGTCCCTCCCTCGCCACCATTTCGCAGTTTCCGCGCACTTAACGCCAAAGAATCGCTTCCATTTCCATTTCGTTTCCGTTTGACGTAAAATTGTCATCTACAACACAGCGCCACGCTACCCACGCGACTCACGCTTCCCCACATTGCATTTCCCTCTTGCTGCTGTCGTTGTTGTTGGCATATTTTATTCCAAGTGCATTCAAAACGACCAGCACTGAATCGTTTAGTCCATTGTTTAAATACTTGAATGCGCTGAATTCGCTTGGACGATCGGGTGGGTGCGTTGTGCTCGTCGGCGGCAGCGTCGCTTTTCATGTCACCAAAAAAAACCGTTAAAAGCGATTTTGCACCACTTACCTGCTGTATGTATACCTAGCATCCAGGAGTGCAGGGGCGTTGGCGTGCAAGCTGTGGGTAGAAACAAAAGACTCATAAAGCTTCACTTCTTTCTTGCAATTTGGCACGTGAATAAAACCGTCAGCGCAGGAATTAAATTATATTCGCAGCATTTTGCATCGCCTCGCTTCTTTCTCTTTGCGGCGAGGGGAAAATTTTGAATTTACATTTTACAAAGTGTTCATATTTAATTTGAAATGTGAGCGGTTTATGATCTCTTAAAGGTGACACAAGCAACGGTTTTTATTGTACGCTCAGCTATTATGCGGAGCCCGGCGATGAAAGGATTTAAACGGATTTATGTATTTGAATCAAATCAAACTCTGTTAAGCTCGAGTGAACTTATTCTAAGTGGCGTTAAGTTTTCGAAATCCGGGTCAACTTATGTACCGTATGTACCAACAGCCACAGTAGTAAGGAAACTTGAGAGTTTATTGCTCTAGTTATTTACTCACCATCTGTCCCAGCAGTGGGTAGAGTGCACATCGGACAATGAGGGTCTCAGACATTATTAGCGCTGATTTTGATGGTCTATCGTAAGATCTTGATAGTCCTGCTATCACGGCATACTTACTGCTATCACGTTCATCCTTACGTTCAACAACCATTCAAAGTTTAATGCCTGAGAGATTTCCAGTGTTCTATAACTATTTTTCAAAGAAGAGAAATTAACCCTTTCTTGTTCCCAGTTGAGTTAGACCCATTTTGCAGTATGCTCTCCGAAGGGCTAGTCCTCCTCAATGTTGCTGTAATTCTAAATATGTTTTATCTAGACATGTTTAATAGGTTTTGATTGAGATGGTGCCCTTCTCTTCTAAAGAAAACTGCTTATACATTGAGGCCTAGAGGGGATCTTCACCTAGAACACATTATTGAAATCCATTTGAGAAGATATGGTCTATTTACCTAAAGGTATTGTGAGTCCCAATCGTTTTTGGTACTTATAATCTCATTACATAGCAGAATTTTCTGTAAGATTTCGAATGCAGATGTCTATAGGAAGCTGACACATATATATACATTTTATGGTTCCAACAACCCCTACACAGACTGCTCTTTGTGCGCCATTTAGTTTCCCAATATTATATTGTTTCGCCAGTGCTGTCCAGCATATCTCCACGGCCACCACACAGATTGCCATAAGCACTCAGATGACTCATGGCCTCTATCAAAGCCCGCGCCGTACCCGAACTGTTCTGGTAGTGCTCGACTTGTCAACACCTTGTACAGAGTCAATTCAGTGCACCGAGCATTGAGAGCTCCTTATTATCGCGCGGGTTAAAGAAAAATATAACATGATTGATCCGTGTAGTCGGCAGATATCGGCGAAATTTCGAGATCAAATTTTCAGACATTTCCCTCTCTCCACTATTTTTAATTTTTAAGTTACGAAGCTCCTTTCATCGCCAAAGGGTGTCTCCCTTACATCCGGTAACTGCTCGGTATTGTCGTCCGGCCAGAATATTGATAGCCTCTATTTAAAAATCAGTTATCCCTTTGACCTTCCCCACACTGCCGTAAGTCTACAAATCCATGGTGAACCTTTCCACTAGTTGGACGAAGGAATAGAAACATCAGCTCGCTAGTCGACAGTACCTTTGAAAAATATGGAGTCATGTTGGTGAAAACATGCAAGACTGTCGAGCAAGAAGCAGATGAAGAAGTTATAGTCCTGTCGGAGAACTGCCTTCAAGATTGTAATAGCAGACTTCCTAATATCGCCTGATACCACAGAGGTCGCGTTTGCCAACACTTACTTGAAGCAAATCCCCCAGGCACATCAAGCGAAGTACTCGACTTTAGTCAGATAAGCTCAACGGGACTCTACTAGACAGGCCTGTTTCTAAGCGAGATTATTTAATAGCATTATCCCCGGTTGTAACCAGAACTCATGCTGGGTACTTCATCATGTGCTGCAACTCTGTACTACATCATAGTGAGATTTTGCTTCCTCAACACAACACACCTTAACCTTGTGTAATGATTCGATAAAAAAAAATATACCAGAATATCGTCAAATTTTCTATTTTCCATTGCTTGGATTCTGTATTCGCTTTCCGCCGAGCTCCTGCCGTTTTATAGTTCCCGGAATTCCTGCAGTCAGGCTTGAGTTCAGATAGAAGCAATAGAATCTTCTCCTGATTATAGACACTTAATACCCCGCATAAAGGTACAGTATTAGATTTCAGAAAGATGAAAACGAGGAAGAAGGAGTCCTGCTTTGATCATCTAGGGTTAGTCGATCTATTTCAATTTGAAAACTGGGCCAACATTTTTTTGAAATATTCCTCAACGTTAGAAGACGACTTTCTTATTTAATATCGCAAAAGATCTCCCTTCAATTGCATTCCCGCGCTGCATTCTTTATTAACAGAATATTCCAGTCGCTTCCAAGATATCTCGTCGACTATTAAACCTTATGCATTTCTATAATTTGTTAACATAATTCACAACTTCATAATGTTTTACTTCACAGTGATGCTTTGGACGGCTTTGGCATTACGGAATGCGGCTCTCTTGCCTGCTTATCGAGTCCATGTCGCAACGGCGCTGCTTGCATCAAAATCGAATCCAACGAAGTAGATGAAAATGGTGAAAAAGCTGAGAAATGGAAATGCAAGTGTCCAACCGGCTATATGGGTCCAACCTGCGAGATATCGGTATGTGAGGACAATCCTTGTCAGTATGGTGGCACTTGTGTACAATTCCCCGGCAGCGGTTACCTCTGTCTATGTCCACTGGGCAAACATGGCCACTATTGCGAACACAGTGAGTAGAAAGTTCTTTGACACGCAGACACACATACATACATGTATTAGCACACATCCTCGTTATACGAAATGACCATCCTCATCCATGATGTTCGTTGCACGTTCTCAAACTGTTCTCAAATGTTCGTGCCATTCCAACCATTTGGTAATGTTGTACTCTCGTCCATATGTACTCGTACTTGAAATCGCGCTCGTAGGTACATCGCAAAGTACATTGTGGAATGCAGACGACTAATCTAAATTAAATTACCTCCCAAAAACCCTGTGCTATCCCCGCCCCAACCGCCTCCAATAATCCTTGAAACAAAAAAAAAAAAAACAAAAAAAAAGATTTTCCTGCCCATACAATTTCCCCTGCTACAATTAAAAATCTTACAGATCTCGAGGTCGCTTTGCCATCATTCTCGGGCAGCGTTAATGGTCTCTCATCGTTTGTCGCCTACACCGTGCCCATACCGCTGGAATACTCAATCGAGCTGAGCTTCAAGATACTGCCACAGACAATGTCGCAAATATCGTTGCTCGCTTTCTTAGGTCAATCAGGCTATCACGACGAGAAGAGCGATCATTTGGCTATCAGCTTCATACAGGGTTACATTATGCTCACATGGAATTTGGGTGGCGGACCGCGACGCATCTTCACACAGAAGCCCATCGATTTCCGGCTGGATGCACCACGTGTACCATACGAAATCAAAGTTGGACGTATAGGTCGGCAGGCTTGGCTCTCCGTGGATGGTAAATTCAATATTACAGGTCGCTCTCCGGGCAGTGTTAGTCGGATGGATGTTATGCCTATACTGTACTTGGGTGGACATGAAATTGCGAACTTCAACACGCTGCCACATGATCTGCCGCTGCATTCAGGCTTCCAGGGTTGCATCTACGATGTGAACTTGAAGGCAGGTCAGGTAACGGTGCCGCTGCAGGAGACGCGTGGTGTACGCGGACGTGGTGTTGGACAGTGCGGCACCCGCGAATGTCACCGGCATGCATGTCAACATGACGGAGCTTGCTTACAACATGGCGCTACTTTCACGTGAGTACTCTTAAAATCATTTTTAAAGCTCGAAACGGGAGTGCTGAAAAATCTCTTCGTATTTAGCTGCATCTGCCAAGAAGGCTGGTATGGACCACTGTGCGCTCAACCCATCAATCCATGTGACTCCTTCAACAACAAATGTGCGGAAGGCTCGACGTGCGTGCCGCTCGTGAATGGCTACGAATGTGACTGTCCAGTAGGCAGAACTGGCAAAAATTGTGACGAAGGTAAGATTTGTTATAGAAGGTCCTACCAAAAATTGTACCAACAATAACTACCCTTCTTCCCAACAGATATACGCTCCCTGAGTGACGTCTCACTAACTGGACGACGCTCTTACTTATCGGTGCGTTGGCCCTATCTTTACGATAGCGCCGATAAAATAGGCTCGAAGCGTTCACAGATCATTAGCTATCGTAACTTTACCAAGAAACTGATGCCACCAAAGCCAATCGCCTCCACGAATCAACATTTTGTCATGAAATTACTCAACGAAGTTGAAAAACAACGCAACTTCTCTCCAGTGCCTCTAATGGGTTCGAAAACTTTCGAGGAGCATCATCGCGTGCAATTCTTCTTCATTGAATTCCAATTGCGTCCACTCTCCGAACGTGGTCTCCTACTCTACTTCGGCACATTGAATAACAATCAAGATAAGAAGGTCGGTTTCGTCTCACTCTCACTACAAGGCGGTGTGGTGGAGTTCCGCATATCGGGCCCCAGCAGTCATGTGACGGTCGTGCGTAGCGTACGTATGCTTGCTATCGGTGAATGGCATAAGATTAAAATGGCTCAACGCGGTCGCTGGCTAACACTTTGGGTTGAGGGTAGCGCATCATCAGCGCTCGCGCCTTCTGCGGAGGTGCTTGTCGAACCTGATGCTTTGCTATATATTGGTGGTCTCAAAGATTTGTCGAAACTACCACACAATGCCATCTCTGGTTTTCCCATACCATTCCGTGGTTGCGTACGTGGTCTGGTGGTGAGCGGTACACGTATTGTATTGAACGAAACAAATATTATTGGTTAGTAAACAAATCAATCGTAAATCTCATACTCTTGCGGTGAGTAAACTGAGTATCTCCCTGCATTTTCAGATTCACGCAATATACGCGACTGTGATGGCACTGCTTGTGGTGGTGACTCCTGTGAAGCGGGTGGCCATTGTTGGCTCGACGAGAAGCTGCAACCGCACTGCATATGTCCCGAATATGCGAAGGGCGATCGTTGTGAATATTCGGAGAGCTGCAAGCTGATACCATGCAAGAATAATGGTCGTTGTCTGCGCAGCGGACGTTGCTCGTGTCCGAATGGCTGGGGTGGATTTTACTGTGAAATAGGTAAGTTTTGAAGCATACGGCTTTTGTCCTGAATATTTATTTAGAATTTGTCAACTAGAGCCATGATGTAAGTAACTCGAGGTTTGAGCAAAGAAGGATAGTGAAACTATTGAAAATTATAGGAAATCTTAAGTTATTGTAATAATTAGCCCAACTGAATAACGTGAGAGCCACAGCTTTTTTCCAAAAATACGGACGGAGTTCCAAGTAAATATCACATCAACGACGAAGTCTTTGCGATAACGTGAAGGGCGTTTTCATGGTGATAACTTTCTTTTAAATTGCTATTTTGTATGTTTTTTTTACAGCAATAGTGATGACATAACTTTACAAAGATGGAAAATTTCAGGGTTGTTAGACTTGATCTCGGAGAAGCGAAAAGATGAAAGTTTCGTTTTCAAGTGAAATTTTTATTTAGTTTTTATTACTGGGAAACGTGTTAAGACACTTTTCACTTCACTAAAAATGATTACGAGTTGTAAAAAAAATTAAAAAAAATGCATTCAGTTGAAAATACTTTTTAACTTTCATGCCAAACTTTCATAGAATTAAAAATTATCTTGGAGTTTTGAAGAGATGAAAAATTTGTTTTCACGTGAAATTTCTTTTACCAAATGAAAAATGGACTTATTTCAATACATTGAAGGAAAGTTTTCAATTCGTCGAAAATGAATAGAGTTCTGAAAATATAATACACAGTGTGTCCCAAAAATAACCGAACTTTTTGGATATAAAATAAAATACACATTATATTATCTTTGAAAGTTATTATTTATTCAAAATAGGTTCCATTTGACTCAACACAACGTTTGGAACGATCGACCAGCGCATGCATAGATTTTTTTATGTCATTTATAGAAATGTTTTTCAGTACCTCGGTTACGGCTGCTTGAATGAATGGCTGTGATATCATCATAAAATGCTCCCTTCCTCTTGGTTTTCAGTTTTGGAAATAAAAAATGGTCACATGGTGATATAGATCAGGCGAATACGGAGGATGGTCGCTGAGAGAAATCCCTTTTTTCATTAAAAATTCGAGTGATTTTTTGGTCGTCATTTAGATCATGTGGAACAAATCGCGCACAGACATTTCTTTTTCCCAAATCTTCAGTTGAAATTCTCCAAATAGTGTTTTTACTCGTATTCAATTCCTCAGCCAACATTTTCGTAGTAAAATTTTCAGTTCAGCACGATTACTAGTTTCTGGACGTCCTGCTCTAGGATCGTCATTTAAATCCTCAGGACCATTTTTAAATCGTGTAAACCACGTATAAACTTGCGTACGACTTATACAATCATCACAATAAATTTTTTTTATTATTTTTTTGTTTCAAGTTTGACACAAAATTTTATATTTGCTCTTTTTTGTTCCATTTTATTTTTGAACCATTAGCACTCTTTTGGTTTTATTGAAATGGCAGTCACTTTTACATCTGTCATCCGACTTACATGATGTTAGGTGCGTTTGAAAAAGGATGAATGTATCTTTTTAATGTTGCAAATTTTCAATAGATGACGCTGTATGTTGTAGGATTTAAATATAAAGTTCGGTAATTTTTGGGACACACCGTGTATATAGGTGAAGTTTGTTTTTATACCGATAGTGCAACTAAACTTCTTTGAAAGCAAAGGGCAGAAAGAAATATCAAAGTTTTGAAAACATAAAAAATTTGTTTTCAGGTAAAAAATTTCACCACAGAATGCGAAAATTGATTTGGTAAATTTTTCAACTTTTCACAATTGAAAACGTACGATGAAGACGTGAAAATATGAAGATTTTATTTTCACGAAAAAAATTTGTTTCACTCACAGTGAAACTAGACTTTTCGATAAAAGTTTTTAGAGTTCAAAAAAGGTGAAAACACTCTTTCATATGATATTCTTTTTCACTTCGAAAACTATCGTGTTTGATAACGCTATAAGAGACTTTCGAACTCACCATTCTTCGGTATAACAATTATTCTCCGTAACCTTGTTACAACAATTGAATACACCTTAGCCACATTGCCGCTTGCCTCCACCCCCACAACCAGTTACCAAAAAAGATCTTGTACCGCAATAAATGCCAAGGCTCTTAAAACCAAATTCAAGGCGGTATAAAAGGATTCAAGATTTTTAGGAGCTTCATTTCCAAATCTCGCATCAAACAAGCCACCCAAGAAGTTCAGCTGTTGTGTCGCCAAAAAAAAACATGACATCATCGAACATTGAAAATAACAGTTAATAATAGCGGTTGGAAAATTTTCAAATCACTCGTGATTGATGAATTGTTGCAAGCGTGACAGTAGCTGACATTTACTGTCGTAAAAAAACACTCATATGAAATATATAATAAAAATAAAGTAAAAAATCGGACATGATTGAATTTAGTGTAAAATAGCACACGGCAAAAGGCCTTACGCTTGGCATTGATGGCGGAAAACATGACGCAAGTGCAAAGCTAATTGCACAAATGAGAGTATCGAGCTTACGTGCTAATTGCATGTAAATATGTGTGTGCAAGCTCGACTTAAGGTAATCGATGAATCAGCCCTGCATGTGAGCTATTAAAACAAAGGCAACAGCATAGGGGAAATAGATCTAAAATATAGCCATAATAGAATGGTCATAAAGCCGTTGTAAAATCAATTCTCGCTGTCTTAAAACCCAAAAAACTAGCAAAGTGTGACTAAATTGCTGTAAAATTTTCTGTTAATTATATACTTTTAAATTGGCATATACACATATTTCTATCTACATATCGCATTTAATAGTTCGCTGCTACTAAACTCAGTTTAAAAAAAATACTTGGCAAAAAAATTTGCTTAAAACCTTTACGTCACATTGGCTAAATTGGCCTAAAAATTATTTAGAATGCGTGATATGGATTAAATACAATTTTTTGTTAAAGCATGTATTGCCAATAGATTTATATGTATTTTATACATATATGTATATATTCTTACCGATATATCTTTACCCGTTTTGGGTGCTGTTTGCACTTAAAACCTTTTAATTATTATTTTATTTATTTATTTTATGTCTGCTTAAAAGTGCGAACTCGTAATTTTTATATGCAAGCGAACATATATATTATATGTATATACAATACATTAGGGCAGTTCAAAAGAAAATTTTATCACATTAAAATTATTTGAAAATGAAAAAAAGTTTCGTATCTAAAGTAAAATTTTTATAGTAAAATAATTAAAGTAAATAATGCATAACTCAATATTAATCAATTTGAAAAATAAATTAGAAAACATAAAACTGCATAAAAATTAATTAAAAAATTATATCTATTTGAATGATAAATTACATTACATTAATGGCAGCTCTAAGTACCCTTAGAAATAGTTAATACAAAACTTAAATGTGGTGTAAAAGTTTAGAGATCAGTAGGCTTTTTATTATGGAAAATATTTGTACTTGCGTTTCTAAATTTAAAGCAGTCATCGATGATGTGTTTAATGGACAGTGGGCTATTACAAGTTAGGCATGAAGGAGCGGGCTCCTTTTTCGGCAGCTGCTGTACGTTTTTATTTTTATTATTTTTTTTTTTTTGCCGACCCTTAAATACCTGCACGTGAAAATTGTAGTATCAAATTACCTCTAAATTTTCTCTAAACCAATTTTATAAGCCTTCTAACTTGTATTCGTTCTTCTGCTTAAGGTTTTAGATTTTCTAAGTCAAATAGGCACAAAATTTTAATAAAACTAAAAAATTTATTTAGAATTTTATAAAAAAAATAAAAAAAACAGAAGGCGTCAAAGAATTCAAAGCTACCGAGCGCGCCTTAAATAGTTATTTAATTTATCTCAATTCAAGATGTAATTAAGCGCAGAAAACTGTCGTAATCTATTTTTATTTTTTTGCCTCGGCATTAATCTTAATGGTATCTCATATTACGCACCTAATCCCTAACGAACTTCCAGCAATGTATGCCTTCGCTCATACATACCCGCCGACTGCTCGTGCACAGCCATGGAAAATTCTTTACGAAATGGGTTTGTGTACCAGCTCTAGAAAATGTTGCGATAATCGTTTTCTTTCTTTCATCTACTTTTATTCAGATTATTATGGTGTTTCTTTTCTTCATAAGGAGCCTTTATTTCAGTTCAGAAATACACTCGGAGGAACGACCGCAATTAGAAACTTAAGCTTAGTTTTTTATTTAAATTATTTTTCTATAACGTTTGGTTGTTGGTCGCACGTGGATTTGAACCCGAGCATTCCGGTCTGTTTTATTCATTTCATATAAATTGAATAATTTTCCATGTATGATTTGGTTTTTAAAAAATAATGAGAAGGTTGCCATGTAGTTCAAAGAATTTTAACCTTAAAAGTTTTACAGCTAAAGACAGTCTAGAATAACTGCTTTAATATAGATAAAAGAAATTTAATAAAAAATTTTGTGTCATTCAATGTTTACTGCATACGATAAAGCGATTGATGAATTTAACTATTACGTATGAGGAGGTGTCACTTCGAAAATACTTTGACTTTTTTCAAATTTTTTATTTTTCGAATTTTAACAATATTTGTTTTGAGTTTTTCAATATTTTATAAAATCTAGATTTTTTGGTGCTATTTATAATATATTGAAAAATTTAAAACAAATATTGTTAAAATTCGAAAAATAAAAAATTTGAAAAAAATCAATACGTTTGCGCTTTTTTGAAGCTACCTAGCGCATATTTTACTATTTTTTTCTAAAAAAATAAGTATCACTTCGCAAATTAATTTCAGTGTGAAGAATTTATTTTTAGCAATTTTACAAATTTTAATAATGCAGAAAAAAACTTATAAAAACTCGAAAATTTTTTTTCTACAAATTTCAGAAAACTTTCGCTAGTTTCTAATTAGCTTAATATGTATGTTATGAAAAAGAAAAAAATTAAAAAAAATTTTCGAAATTCCAAAAAAAAATTCTTTTATTTTTGAACCACCCTAACATATATATATATACTTGTATATATATATATATATATATATATATATATATATATTATATATATTATATATATATACTGGTATTTATATATACCAAGCACCGAAACCAAAGTAACAGTATTATGCGCCAAAACAGCAAAAACGCAGTAATTTTTGAAATAGTCGTAAATGAAAAAAAAGAATTTAAAAAAAAAATTTAAAAAATCATTTTTGCAGAAAAAGTTGAAATTATATATCATTCAAATGAACAACCACTCCAGCCATAAAGATCACGAGTTGTTTTTTATTACTATTTCTACAAAATTATATGGCACAAACATTAGAATAAAAACAAAAAAGAGAACCAACAACAACAACAGAAAGAGTATAATAACGCCAAAGATGAATTATAACCGAAAATCAAGCGAACAGTGACAGCCGCAACTAATTTACAGTTAAATGTAATAGAAAATAATAATAATAATAATATAACAGCAAAAAAAAAGAGAAAAAAATTAGCAGCAGAAAAATCACGAGTAGAAACAAGAATAAACAAAAAATCCCACAGCAACAAAAGCCACAACAACAAAAGCAAGCCTTGACTACAAACAGCTGCTCAAGCTGCAGGCGCTACTGAAATATTACTTTGTCAGCTGCTCTGATGAGGGCTAACTGTTTTTCAAAACTTTTATTTTGATTTTTATACCGCGAAACGCATACTGCTCTACAACAGTAAAAAAAACAAATGTACATACATATAAAAATTACCGCTCTAAACCCACTTCTGGTGTAACACTACTCGCTGACAGCGGGTAATTAAATAAATTCTAAACCCTTTACCAACACTTTTCGGCAGAATTCTATGAAGCTTTGAAGCGCCCATTGTTCTACTTGGCAGATGCACACGTGAGTCGGAAACACAAAGGCAAGACAATAGAATCTGGCAGAAAGAATAGCAAAAAAAGCTGACTAAAACAATAGAACACCGTTGTTTGTTGAGCAATCACAGCAGCAATTAAAGTCAAGCAAAATACGAAGATGTTAAGCAACTTTGTAGCTTTTTGACGATCTAGCAAGCTTGCAAAACTCAAAAGTAAAGAAGCAGCTAAAGAACACGAGAACCAAAAAACAAGACAAAGACGAAGTGGGAGAAGTTAAAGACACGCTTGCGCATTGAAACGAGATCAGGGCTGCTGTGCAGAAGAAATAAAAAATTAAAAAAGAAAAACAGATGCAAAATTCACTATAATATCTAAAGTAACGAACGAACTTTCGTTGAAGAAAAACCGAATTAAAAAAAAAAAATTCCGATAAAGATTTTCACTTCGTCTTAAGGTGGTCCGTACTTTTTTCAAGCGCTGAAAAATCATATATATATATTTGCTAATCGAAAATGAAAACCAAAGTTTTTATCTCTTTCTGTCGTATATATACTAGGTCAGTAACCTGTAAAGATCAAAATTTTTCCTTTTCTCGTAGAACTAAGCTGAAGTTAGACTGAGCTTACATAGCTCCGATGATCGCTATCACTACTAGTAGGAAATACCATGCTTCTACATTGAACCAGATGCAGTCGTAACTAATATTAAGCTCTCCTTGACCAATAGAGAAAGTCTTCCAACTGTCCATGTCATAATACACGGTGTTTCAGCAACAAGCTTTGCTCAAATGAGTTATTAAAAGTTATTATAATGAGCATTGAAGTGATTCGAGGTTAAAAAGCGCATTAAGCTTAAAAGCTCATTAAAAACTTAGCCTATACTCGCAAAAAAAATAATATTCATTCCTCAGAGTCTTATTCTAGTTAATTTTAAAGCACCAGAAACAGATATGTCCGAATGACCATAAGCTTCAAAGTTCAACAAAAGCTTACCTCATTCTCGTTAAAAAAAATCTCTAAGCTTATAATCCCACTTTGAAAGCTATTTTCTTGTTAACTTTGGGGTAACTGAAGCAGCTGTAAAAAATATATTATGTTTTCGTTGTTCAATTAAGAATATCTTTCAATTAATCTCAGTCTCTTTATAATCCTACATGTTTTACTATCCTCAGCACTTTTAGCCCTGATCACTTACATATTGTATATACATAGATGAGCTTTAAAAAAATATATGAAGCTTAAAAGCACAAAAGTAATTATAAGAGGAGAATTTTTTGGAAATAGTAAGAAAGATCCGCCAGGTTGAAACCAGACTTAAAATAGGTCTCGTTTTCATAGATAAGCCAAGAGAATATCAAGTTTTTGGAAAAATTATCACTTTATCCATATCCTTTTTCCATTTTGAATGGAGTTTAAGTTGATTTGCTTGAAGCAATCTGGAATTGGTTCCCATGTCACTGTTGACAGTCATAATTTCGTTTATCTCGTAATCAGCATCAATCCCAATAATAATGCCAACGTAGAATCCCTTTTGCCACTTTGAACTGAGTAGGCAATTGAAAAATGAAGTCCTCTATCGGCGAAGAAAAACAAAATTCTGCAAGTCGCTCATCATACCCGTGCTACTAGATGGCGCAGAAGCGTGGGCGATATCAACAGCTGATGAGTCGGCTTTGGTAGTCTTCGAGAGAAAAGTTTTGCCATTCGATGCAGTACCCGTTTGTGGAAGGAGAGGAAGAGGAAGACCTCCACTCCGTTGGAAGCTCAGGTGGAGAGCGAACTGGTTGCACTTCGTATTTCCAACTGGTGCTATAATTGATTTTGCTATAGTCGCGTAAGCGAAAATGACCAGAGATTATAACTCTAAATGGCTCACTGGGTTCAAATGAGAGGTCTGTAGAGTTTTAATTTTGATCAATTGTTCAAGAAAAATAGTGGGAATTTTATGAACAACGAATAAAAATATATTTTCTATTCCTTTTTCAAGACTTTTCGAAGGTAAAATATGAAAACATATTTTTTCGGTGCTTTAGTGAGACTTGAAAGAAAGGTATCTAAGTGGATTTTCTACTGGGTTAACACAGATTTCTATAATTTAAGCGACGACAATATGGCAAAGTTGAAGGAAATACGAAAAAAAGTAATAAATCAGTAATTAATTGCAACTGCCAGCCAACTTTGGTTAACTACGAAGCTAATCTCATACATAAAAATTAATATATAAATGAAAAAGAAGAAAAAAAAATTGCTTCAAACATTTAATTAAAAAGATACATATAAATAAATAAATTATGCTTTCCCAATGCAATTATAACTGTTACAATTATTTTCCTCTACTTCTTTCTCCTTATTTTCTTCCTACATTGCCCGCCGCGCACTCATTACTGCCATGATGCTTCCTGCTACGTGCTTTGGACTTACGCTTCACTTTCAACACACGCCGCACAGCAATGAGTAAGCCCACAACGCCAAGCTTCCGTGGCAACAGTTACCTGATCTTACCGCCACCCCGCATACCGATGAAAGACAAACGACGCGGTCCATCTATGTACGTCCGACCACGTGAAGCCATGCAAGTTTCGCTGAACTTCTCCTCCATCGAACCAGATGGCCTGCTGTTGTGGAGCGAGCATGATCATAATAAGTTTTTGGGTTTAGGTTTGGAAAATGGTCACCTGAAAATGGCTAGCAATTTGTTAGATTCAAATAATGATACAGTGGAAATGCCATCGACTGGTTTCATAGCGGATGGTAGTTGGCATTTGGCCAAGATTATAATGGATCGTAACCGTTTGGAATTGCAGTTGGATGGTGAAGTGATATTCTCGGAAAAGTTGTTGGATACAGTGGCGTTGTCCACAACGGAACGCGCGCTATTAACGACGAGACGTTCGTTTGCAGCACGACGCGGTAAGGAGCCATCAATCACCTATGAGGATGTGTTCTATTTAGGTAAGTGGAAATTCTTCTACCAGTATTTTAATAGAAACTTAGATTTAAGGGAGGAGGTGGAAGTGTTAAGATCCATCTGAAGATCATATCTGATAAAATATCAAATCTGTATAAAGACTGAATTTTTGCTAACTTCACTGATCGAATTAGACCTCGGCTCAATAACGCGAGCTTGGGAGTCCACTAGTGCCAACCAAAGAACAGCTCGTAAGCAAAAATATAATCCAACTTTGGTAAGGTAATCTATGTTCGAGCAGAGCACGTGCTTATTCATAGAGGCAGTTCTCTAGTCATGTTCAATTCGTTAATCGTCAATTAAGTGAATTAGAATTCCTACACTCTACCCTCAGTAGATGGATAGATGGATAGTTGGATCTTTGTATCGCAAGGATCTGGATTTTTACCCGGACAAGCACTGCCACTATCGCAGTATCTTGTTCTATCGAACTACAAGGAAAATACTTTCTTTAATTCAGGGCTGCTGAGAGGTTTTTATTTTGTAAGCACTCTACACCTCACTAATCCCCCTTCGGGGTATACGGTTATACTTTCCAAATTAGTGGTACTCCTACGTACTCATGGCACCATCTTGGACACGTGAGCAATCCTTATGCGACATGCAATAACCTACCTGCGTGAATCCTAAGATTACGGTTAAAAGAAACAGCGGAGCCACGTCGACATATCCTGCTGAAGGGATCCCGACGTAGAAACTTAATATTGTCTTTTGATAGCGACTATTCCTAACGCTTTAAGGACCACGATCTAAGAGTACACAACTGAAATTTCCGGTCTCTTAATTTACAAGGTGCGGCTGCGGCTGTGAGTTGGGCTTCATGCCGGTGGATGAATATCTCCCCACAATCCAAATACAAATAGTGCAAACCCGAGACGATAACGGCAGCGGATAAGTCGGCACTTGGAGTTTTCATGAGAAAGGTTTTGTGTACGATGTATGGTCCTACATTGAGAGTCTTCAAAGTAGTACCCGCCGGTAAAAACGAAGAAAGAAGAAGAACTCCACCCCATCGGAAAGAAATGAGTAAGTGAAGAAAGCAATTGCACGCTCTTGTTAACTCGTTTGCAATAAAGTAAGCGATGTCAATAAGAAAAAGATGACTATGCAAATAAAGAAGAAAGAGAGAGCTACGTGAATGAAAAACCTCGACGCAACCATGATTAATGAACATGATGAACCGACAGAAAGACTGAGAAAAAAGTCATAAAAATTTGACTGGTGTTGATGATTAAAAAAACAAGTAGCTCAAGCTCAGGTCTTCCAACCGAGCCGTTCATCTACAATATCCACAGTCGACGCTGAATTGATTTTTGGCCGAGCTGCTCTTCCATATTAAGGTTTGGATCTTGTTGTTTCCAACAAATGGAAAGTGAGTTTACCCTAAGCCGTCTCCGAACGGCCGATGGATTTTAATTTCAAGACAGAAATACAATCAGAGGTCTTGACATTTTCTGCCGAGAGGCGGCCGCAATTAAAATATTTAACTTAATTTTATATTTAAATTCGGTAACCTTGGATATTGTTCTGACCAAGATACGAACTTTGGCCTTTCGTACGCACAGCTAACCACTCGATTTTGCGGCCGTCAGTGCTAAATACTGCAGTATCCGAGTAATGTTGTTAGAAATGCCTTTCATTAACACACAAATTTCTCTATAATAAAATATTTGACTACCTCTTTGACCCCGTCATCTAGCGGCGAAACCGTCATTTCGCATGCAAGTGCATAAAAACAACAACCATTAAGACTAACCTCAGCTCGAGCACGAGCATTAAAGATATCTGTAAAAACTTAGCTTAGAAAAAAAAGTAACAATTATCTTCACAGCCACTTCAGGCAGCATTTGACTGACTGACTGACTAAGTAATTGTCCAACTCTTCTTACCTCTATCCGCACGGCGCACAGGTGACAAAAAATTCCAACACGCGCACTGTTACTGCAGCTGACTGCTTGCCGCTTTGACTTTAACTTTACGAGCCAATGAAAAGTACGAAAAGTTAGAAAGTTGCCATTAATATTCAAATCTTCTTTGTTTGGCTTGTTCGTCTGCTGATTTTTTATTTTTTTTTTTATTATTCTTTTTTGCTGTTTTTTTTTTTTTTTTTTTTTTTTGTAGTAAACTCTCAACGTTTTATTGTTTAAAGAAGCTTAAGAGTTAAAAAAAAAAGCCAAAAGACTTTCAATGCAATTTTTTATGCGTTTTTTTGCCAGGCGTCTTTCACATTTATTATTGTTGATTTATGTTTATTTGTTTGCGACAAACAAGCCGTTTATCAGCCAACGATCGATCGATCAATGGCTTTAGTAATGAAAAACGACAACAACAGGGGAGAAAAAAAAAGTTGGAAATAATAATAAATTTGCAAAGGAAAAACACAAAAATGCTATGAAAATAAGCATAATGTATGTGTTGTTGTTTTTGTTGTTTTTTTTTTTAGTTACTTTCGTTGTTAATTTTTATTATTTCTGTTGCTGTTGTTTATTTCTATTATAGTTGTTTTTGTTATTGTCAACCGGCTCTACTAACAACAACAGCCAAATTCGCACATTCACTTGTGTTGCACTTTTCTGCACTTCACTGCACTTTGGCTCGCGTCACCCCCTTGCTCCTTGCTTCGTGCTTGCTTCGTCGGTCGCTACTTGCTGTGGCTTGCACTTTGCGGCTCTTCGTGGTGGCAGTCGACTTTTGTAATTTGCAGTAACCACTTTTTCAATTAAGGTTTTAGACTTTTTGTTGTTGTTTGTTGTTTTCGCATCTGCATTTCACTTGGGCTGTCTTCGTTGGTAAGAAAAGGGTCGCGAGACCTTTTTGTAGCAATTTTTGTTTTAATTTCACCTACTTAATTTGTTGTTGTTGTTGTTTTCTTAAAACTCTGCACATATGTAGGTACTCGTTGACAAGCATATGTTGATAAATAAACATGCATAAAATAAACATGCATATGTATGTATATGTATATCTCCTACACTTTAAATATAAATTTTTTTTTATTTAATATTTTTTTTTATTTTTTGTTTTTTAACAAAATATTTTATTCACTCAAGCACACCGCAAAATGCCGCAATATTTTCAAAATCCTCTCCAACAAAGACTCACTGCACGCGCACGCCACACCAAACGTTCGACACTGACGCCGACCAACGAACTAACGAACTAAAACCCAAATCAACTTTGGCCAACTTTGCGATCTGTTTCTTGAACTTTTCACGTTCTACGTTTTGATGTGTTTTCTTTTTCAACACATCAAGCTGCTACTGAGCCGCCGCCAGTCACTCACACACGATCACAAAAACAATACACCGCCGCGCTCTTGGGCACTCAACGCACGCAGCAGACACTCGACACAAGAGCTGGGCTTTATTTACTTTGGAACTGGTTGCTGTTGTAGCTTTTTTGTGTGTTTCTACGCTTTTTACGTTTTTTTTCTTCTTCTTTGTTTCCTTTCGTACTTTTAAATCGCCATGACGAATGTATCTTCTACATACAAAAACAAACAAATACTAAATGTACACACATTAATCTTCGTCTTCTTCTTTGCCGCTTGCCTCTACGTTCTTTGCTTTGACAAAACACTCTCCGTGCCGTATGTAGCCCTGTCACTCTTTGTCGTTCTTTAGCTTAACATTTTCAGTCCGTCTTTTATGCCAAATCACTGACTTATGCGCTAGCTTCTTACCGCAGTAAGTATTCTTGCTACAAATCAGACATTGTATCATAAAGTCGACTACTTTGCAAAATCTACTTCTGTTTTATTTTCACGCTCCTCTACACATGACTGCACTGACACACAGCGAGTAGTCGTGGCAAAAGGTGAGCGGCACGCAGCTCACAGTAAACTAGTTGCACACACACACACGTTAATAAATAGTCGCACAGCGAGCGGCTGACCTGTAGACTGAGCACATTCTTATAGTAAAAAAAAAAAAACAAATACTCTCAGGTGTGTGCATATGTATGTATATATGTATGTATGCTTCTGTGTAAAAACCTTCTACCGCTCGCAGAGTGTTGACTAATCGAACAGCTGTTCGGCGATCAGTTGATTCCAAACAGGTAATCAACATTCAACAACTCAACTTCAGCCTAAACTCGTCTGTTGGTGAGTTGTTGAACACTCGCTGATGCTTGGTGCTTAGCTTAGTATTGGTTCATGTCTTGGCTGAGCCTAACTTTGGTGTGGTAAGAAAGTTTTGCGTTTATTTTTGTATAGTTTGTATGTTGGCATAGGACATTAAAGAAAAAGTGCTGTATTAAACCAATGGCACAGGTGAAACGTATCTGTCTACTTAATATAATAGAAGCGATAAAGGCCCTAGAAGTCATCGTTGGCCACTAGCCAAATTGTGAAGGACATTAAATTATACCAGAAGAGAAGAATGGACGGAAGTCCAGCCCATTAGTAACAGTAAAGGTGGGTGGAAATGTAAGGCAGGCAGGCGAGCAGGATTCTTCTATGACCACCCCAATAATCAAGGCAGCTTCAAACTCATTGACTACAACTCTGCTTTCCAAGCGAAGATTGTGTGCATTCCTCAAGACCAGTTTCATAGAGAAATCAAGCAGTTATCTGCTAGACAACTAAGCGGCAGTGAAGGCAATTAAGAGTGTCAACATAAATTTCAATCGCGTTAGAAAATGCAAAAAAGTAAAAAACAGACTATTACGGGAAAACACAGTGAATACCACTTGGGTCCAAGGTCACATGCTGTCGACGCTCTCCTCTACTGCCCTGTGTGGGTGTCGACTGCCTCACACCCTCCAACTCGTTCAAATATTGTTTATAGTAGTGGGCCATGTAGGTCTCGGAACTCTTTGAACGCTGCCTTGATGGCATGGGACAGCTTGGATAGTAGATGAACTGTTATTCGTATTGAGCAAAAGAGAACTAAACATTCTTGTGGGTGTATTAAATTCATATCTGAGATATCAACTTCATCTTTACGGTTTCTCAAACGCTTTGTTGGGATGCATGTGGAAGCCAAAATGAGTCTTCTCGATGGCTTTGGTGCGACCGTTTGCGGTGAGGTCCCCCCCTTCCTTTTTCTTTCAAACAGCCCTTTTTGCGTAATTATAAGAAGCTCGAAGAGCAGATTGGCTATACATAATAAGTAGTAGTCGGACCTACCGCTCAGCGTTGGCAATACAACTGTTATCAGGTGGAGAAAGTAGCACACTGAAAGGTTTCAACTGAGATTATTGAATCACGGTTGGAAAAACTTTGCAATATTTGGATTTAGTCGTTGCCGATTACGCCGTTCGGCTAAAATTACTGGCACAAAGTAAAACCAGGTCTTTCGCCATTTGATCTTCCGCTTCCTCTGCTGCCGCTTCCTCTGCTAACCACTAAGTCAATGTCGTCGTATACATCGTACAAGCCATAGTTGCATGGTCTGCGGTACTTGCCGTTGTCAACTCCCAAAGTATTCAGAAAACTTTTAGCGCCGACTCATCAGTTATTGCCATCCTCCATGCCTCCGCGCCACATAGCAGGAAACGAATGATGAAGAACCTTTAGAGTTTGGTGTTTGTCCGTCGAGAAAAGACGTTTTCTAATTGACAAAGATTTGATGTGTGCCGTTCCTTTTTAAAGGACTTAAAGTTTAGTAAATATACAGTAAATTGTGGATCTAATACAAGATCTAAAGCGAAGCAGTAAAGGTCCGACTGAATTGCTGACTTTGTGCTTTGGTTTTTCACACAGTGCGCTCGATAAATACGCAACATTGAGAAGATTTATCCCACAAAATTGGCTCCCGCTAATTTGTTGCTCCTTTTTCAGACAAAGACTTCATCAAGTAATGGAAAATCTGTTCTAACATCATCGATTGGGCATTCGGGTTCGCCGAGTTCCTTAGGCTTATTATACTCTGGTCATCTTCCACTTATGGAAAGCTTTTGTTCATGAACTTTCAAGCTTTTCAGATTCACTTATCTGGATCTATCCCAATTTCTGTCAGCAAATGCCTTCCTCTTCAACAGTCGGTATCTCTCCACGACACCGTTATCTCATCCATTATATTTTCGCAATAGTATTGTTCTGAATACTTGCTTTTATTAATCTGTTGTTTAACCATTCAAATTGCTTTATCATGAAGTTTATGAAAAAATTTAAAAAAAAATTATTTCCCTTCTCTCCCCACAGGTGGCTTCCCCAATCAAGAGCTGGTAAGCGTGCGTACGCTTGGTCGTTTCAACGAACCATTCAAAGGCTGTCTACAAGATATACAATTCGGAGCCGAACCAAATGCCGTTATAACCGATTTTTCATCATATAAAGGAGAGAACATTGGTTCGTGTGATTTACATGGAGATGAACCGATGGTTGTATAGGAAGTAGCGCGAATGGAGAATACAAGTTTTAAAGACGTAGAGTAAAAGGAAAAATAAAATAAAAATAAAAATAAAATAATTGATAAAAATTATTATACATAAATAATGATGAAAACTAAATAAGGAAACAGCGATATCGAGAATAATAATTTTAGTATTTTAAGAGATGCAAATGAGTGAATAAACTGTTTTAGAGAAATATGTATGTAAAAAAAGCATGAAAATAAAAATGAAATAAAACTAAGAGCGTTAAAAGGATTAACTATAACAATAAATTATTTATAATGAGAAAAAAATAATGAAAAGAAATTTAAAAAAAAATATTCTAAAATAAAAATAAATAATAATGAGAAAATATATAAAAAAAATAATTTTGTAAATTTTATAAAAAACAAAACATACAAACAGCCATGTTAAGACAAAATATAAAAATCGGGTTGAAAATTTAAAAACTCTTAGCACGTAAAAAATATACAAACAGACCAGCGTTTTTTTGGCATTAAACTTAGTACTGTTAATAAGAATTATTAAATGATAACAACAAAAATTAATTTAAAAAAAAACTGATAAAATGAAGAAAAAAATTGCTAGTAAAAACGATAAAAATTTTACAAAAACGAGTTGCTATAAACTTTCCTCTCTCACACATACATACATATATATGAATATATTTAGTGACATACATTAACTTATACATAACATATAATATAATTCATACTACTAGGCTGGTATGTCACGTAGTTGGGTCGACAAACATGTAATATTGAGGAAAAGCCAGGATTAGGGTTATTAAGAGCAAACAAAATGATTTTGCGAAAGAAAATATTACTAATTATTTTACTTGGTAAAAATAAAAACTAACAATAAATATATGTATAAAATATATTTTGGTTAGAAAAATATTTCAAAAAAAAAAACTTTTTTATCGAAGAAAATTTACTTAAATTACAAAATAAAAACATGCTTAATTGGTTAATTAATTAAAAAGAATTTTTTTAAATAATTTAGAAATTTTCATGTGAGAAAAAACGGAAATATATTTTTTTTTATTTTTTTTTTTAATAATATCTCAACAATTTCAATATGTGTAGCTAAGTAAATAAAAACAATAAATAATTATTACTAATTGGTTAATTAATTTTAAATAGTTATGCGCTTTCCTCGCTTAAATGAATTTTTTAATGTACTGAAATTGGTTTTTGTTGTTGTTATATTTTTAGCAATTATATGTGCACATATTTGCATATTGTTAATATTTTTTTTAATTCATTTTTTTTTTATTATTCGCGTGTAAATTATACATATTATTTTCATCAACTATTCTTAAAGGAATTTTGAAATTTTATTGAGAATTTTTTTTTTATTTATTTTGTTGTTAATTCTACTATTATTGCATTTGTAGTAAACTGAACAACTGCCCCCTCTTCTGCCATTATATTTAGTAGATATTTCTTATATTTATTATATATAGTATCTATTCATCTAACTTGCATTCTTCTACTAGCATTTTTTTTCAATTTTCTTATACTCGCTCTCTCTCTCTCTCTGTCTCTACACACAATCACGCCGCTTTAGTCCTGTCTTCTATTTTTTGTATGGAAAAAATTAGAATTTTAATAAATTATTCGCTTACTAAATTACAAAAAGAAAAACAAAGTCTACTTATACTATAAACTAATTAATATATGAAGCCATTTTGTTGCCTTGTAGTAGTTTTTATTAATAAAAAAAATATTTAATCAAGCTAAAGGAAATATTCAATTGATAATATTGCGAGATTTTGCTGTAGACTCCGATTTTCATTAGCCCATTCTACTTATATTCCGCAAAATGTTTACTTATTAACTATTATATACATACACACACACATACATATGAAAGAATAGTAAAGAAATATAGTGTTTTTAGTGAAAGGATAAATGAGAAATAAAAAAAAACCTAAAAAATAAAAATTTTGAAGAAAAAAATTAGAATTTAAATATAAATAAAAAATTAAAATTAGTAAGAAAGTTAAAAAATTAAATAAAAAACCAAATCCAAAAAAAAAACTTAAAAGCAAACACTATGAGAAAGTAGAGAGTTTACTTAAAATTAGAAAAAAACATTCTCAAAAAAAATATTAATAATTTTTTAAAAGGTGGAAAATTGCATTTTTTAGAAAGGCAAAAGAAACATTTATTAATACTAAAAAAATACACAAAAATTCCAAAAGATGTATATTAAAACTAAATACAAACAAAAAATACAATAAAGTTATACATATACAGCTGCAAGAATTGATAAAATACCGAGTAAGAAAATTAAAAGAATAATTTTATTATAATAATATAAAAATATTGAAAAAATACCTAAAAATAATATAATACAAAAAAAAAATCAAAAATACATAAAAAACTATATTTAATACACACAAAAAAAAAAGTTATCAATTAGAAATATTATAAAAGAAAATAATATTAAAAAATAGTGATCAGACATAATGAAAAACAGTTGCGTTCACCATTGTAAACATTTATTTGGTTACAAACAGAAAATTATAACAACAACAACAAGTGCAGTACATCTATCAAAAGTAAGAATCAATAATAATACAAAAAATAAAATAAACTAAAACTATTCAATTAAATAAAATTGTATTCACTACAGTTTATTTCGAAAAGGGAACTTCATAGAATTATCTATTATTATTTAAATAAAACGGTTAATAAAAAAAAAAACTTTTCAAAAATCATTACTGGTAATTTTTAATGACTATGAATTGTAATTAAGCAAGGTAAGTAAATTAATTTATTTATTCTCTTTATTTTGCGGCCGATCTCAGCTGCGGCCAAGGGTAAAAAGTTTAGTTTCAAAAAAAAAATATAAAAAAGAATTAAATATTTTTATTACTAGTATTTATCATCTTAAAGATATACATTTGAAAAAGAATTTATGAAATTTTCAAAGGAAAATATTCTTCACTCTGCCATTGTGACGTCATTTCCGGTGGCTCCTGTAAAAAAATGGCGTGTCAACGTTGACATGACAGGATCAGCCGATATAAAAAGAAAAAGAAAATCTTCCACTAATTAATACTAAATATATACCAAAAACAAGAAAAACAAGAAAATTGAAATTAGTGAAAATTGGATTTTTGGCAGATTTTTTTTACAGCAAAATTCAAATTTTGGTAAAATTAAAAATTGATGTTTCTTTATAATCCTTCGAAGGCATTTCATCAACAGATTGCTTGAGAAGTTTCCGAGAGCGTTTGTCAAGCGACTTTGAAAACTCACATGTTAGCGGTCCCGGTGGTTGCCGACTCCCTCCATAGCTCTAAAGAAAAACCTTCGATTCGTACATATTGACATTATCGGACTTAATCGTCACAAATCGGCGACCTGCTGAGTTGCAGCTTCAATTTTTTAACGAATAACCAACCTTTCTATTATGTTTCGATCCATCTTGATTGGTAGAGATTTTTTGTGTGTTTCTCAATATTACAACGATGCTGAGAGAGGTTTAATGCCGCTCGATATACACAAGGTTCAGCGCACAATATTCGGTAAAGTGTAACTTCATATACTCGTACATATACATAAATATGTCAATGCCAATCGAAAGACCTCTCTTACTGTTTTCTATTACTCCTTATCTTTAAGATGACCAAACTACTTAAATACGTTCGAAGCTGAAATTTTTGCAATAAAAATAGCCACAGATCTATCGGAGGGTAGTGACCAACACAAAAATGATTCAGTAAAAAAAGGCCATTAAAATGCTGGCGGAGAAGAACCACTTTTCTTTAAGGTGCCAGGGCGTAAGGGCATGGAAAGCAACTTGCTTTAGCTAGAAATCTTTCAGAACATTGTACAGCAATGAACTTGTCCATTCCTCTGACAAGAAACACTCTTATACCGCGCTGTGATTTAATCCCTTATAAAGAAGATGTGCCGAAAGATATTTTTAAAAGAGCTGTCATCAGTTCTTCAAGACACTGCACCTTCATATATATATAATTGGCGCTTGGTAAACGCGGAGGCGATTTTCGGCCGAGCTCCTCCTCCAAGGTGTGGTTTTTGCGTCTTGATGTTTCTCCAACAAATGGAGGTACGTACAGCCGCTTCCGAATGGCTGATGATTTTTTTATGAGGAGGAGTCAGAAATACACTCGGAGAGGTTGACATTCCCTGTCGAGGGGCGACCGCAATTGGAAATTTTAGCTGAATTTTTTATTTAAATTAATTTTCCATAACTTTTGGATGTTGATCGCACGGAAATTTGCACCCGAGCCTTCCGATTGGCAGTAGGCAATGCTAACCACTCGGCCATCGCGGCCCCTTTATAAACGATGGTGAAAAAATGGGCTCAACTATTTCAACAAGGAAGAGAGACCTGCTGACATAGTGTTGTTGCTTGGTCCAGGAACGAAATGTTAATGAAACCAATAAAAAACAAGTTATGTTATTGATACTAGCAATTAGTCCCCCAAATAATAGATCTTCAATCACCATGGAACAGAGCCAAAACGCCGACTTCCATTCCGCCATAGAACAACTGTGTTCTTTAAATGGGAAACACAGCTGCAAGACTTTGGTAGAAGGAAGTTAATCTGGTAGTACGAGTATCTTCTATGAAGGACTTCTCAAAGAGTCAACCAATATGACTTATACTAATTTCCGTACAAACAATCGTAAAAATCTGTGGGTACTGAGCTTATTTAAAACTAAAATGGTAATATTAAAAAAAAACGATTTATGATAAATTTAAACGTCTTTACATACTTTATTTAATTTAATTTGACTAATGAAACTGAATTTAGTGCATTTACTGAGAAAGCACTTCGAAGTTTTGAACGCAACATTGGCATCTTTTGCCTTTTTTTTCTGAAGTGATTTTCACATATTCCTTTCGTAGAGCCTTCTTTACCTCCTCTGCGCTCAATGCCTTGTAGCTTCGTAATTTTTTGATCCATTAAAAAAAACACAAATGACACAAACAACCCCTGCGTGCAACGTAATGCGATACTTCCAGTAAGCTTTATAGAGGCTTGTTGATTTATAGGAAAAGATGGATTGTTATTGTAAAAAAGAGCTGAAATTTTGGGACTAAGCAGGCAAGATCAGTCTAGGTCTTCGAGGTCATCTAATGGAAAGCAGCTATTTAGACTGTCACCTCCACTTTTTGTAATTACAATATGTATGTGCGTGTGTACATACGTACATACATATGTATACCTACAGTGGCTGTTGGTCAAACGCCTACCAACAACCACACACGTCAAAACAAACTACCGCACAAAAAGGAGATGACAAAACTAACAAAGCGACCGGCCAGCTTAGTGAAGACGGCGTGGGTCGCTAGCTACGCACAACAACAAACTACGTGCAAAGAAAACAAAACCAAGCGAAACTTCCTAACGCGATAAACAAAAATTGCGGGACAACAATTTAACAGCAAATTCGAACTGCTCAAAACAATAAAACAAAATATGTTTTTGGGGTGCACCCGAGGTGTGGTCCAACCGAACTGGTTACGAACCCACTCGCACTACTCCCGTGCTGCCGGGGGTAACTTTAACCCGCCTGTATGACTGGGCTCCGGGTGCGGGATGCTAGAAGGATGGGTAAGGACGTAACGAGGGTGGTGACACTGTCGGCACGACAAAACGTACGCAAACAATAAATACACGAAATGATACTTATCAGTTTCTCGGTCGGGTGTGGGTACCCAACTTCGGTGCTCCTCCGGATGATGTCGACGCCAAACTCTGGTTCCGCCACTGGAATATAAAAGAAAACCTATTTTGCACTGGGCTTCGTCTGCCCTTAAACAAGCCCCGACTGGCTTAAAACTTTCACTACTTTTTACAAGGCTTCAACTGCCCTTACACTACCACTTGCCTCGCCTGGCAAAACGCTATTATATTTAAAAAAAATATCACAAACTTTTTGTTTGTTTTTTTTTCTTTTTTTTTTTGTAAATCGCACGCCTGCGTAAAAAGAAGTTCGCACTCTTCTGTAGATTGCAAGAATCTGATCCGGCACGCACTTACGAGCCAGGCCGCAAGCTACGCGTCGGCCTTCAAAATTCTCCTGCGAGTGTGTATTGGTGCCCAATCATTTGGCGCCGCCCCCATTACCCAAAGGGACCGGGTTGTATAGCGCATGCCACCATGGCACACCAAGTACACTGGGATAACTTTTCCCCTCGCTGCAGTAAAGAAAAAGGCGACACCCCTTTTTACGGAATTCCCGCGCAAAGCATACCGTTGCCCTAATATTTGTTAGTGGAGGAACCGTTTTGGGGAACACCTCCTTTTGGAGACTTATACCACTGGGTAGGCACACACCGAACGCAACCGTGCCATCAATCCATGGCTTCAAATAATGCAACTATTTGCCGACAGATATCACTGCCAACGCTTGGAGTGAAAGGGAGCTTAGGCAAAACAAAGGAAATTAACAGACACACACAAAAGAAGTTTTTGTTGCGGCCAGTACGCGACAAGACGGGTTCAGTCAAGAGGGAAAGAGTCATAAGATGTGTTGGTTTCATGGAGCATGCAAAGAGAAGATTAGTATCGTACGAGGACTCATTTCATGCGGGGCATACGTTGGGTACGTCGTGGGAGAAGTCTGAATGGCTAGGAATTTAGTCGATTACAGTATCAGTATCCAGATCTTAATTGCAACAGCGGTGGTGGTTCGACTCAGAGAACGCTATTACCTGGAATTCAAGAAGATGTTAACGAACTCTCGATGAATGGCTTTAAAGACCAGTCGGTAAGTCGTCCTGTCTAGCGGTTCGTGCACGTGGTGCTTAATGCAGTCCTTAAAGTCAAATACTCTGTTCCTGATATACCTACTTCCTTAACACGTAGCATAGATGTTTCACTGTGAAAGTGATGCTCTGGCGAAGTCAGTATGTTTCCTAGCACGATTCTAAGGACGGTGTTCTGTCAGACTTGTAGCTTCCTCAACAGCATATCGATAGTCCCCAGTTCCCTATAGTTTACGACCGGCCGGCCAATTGCCACATATGTTGCCAGAATTGTTACCTTATCTCTTACTAATGCTTTGAGGATATTGTTGCGGTCTTATGCTTTTGAGGCAATTGCTGTCGTACGCGGCGTGTAGGTGTCTGCCTGGAACTTCGGATTATTTGTAGTTGGAATTTTTACGCCCCCTACTTTAGCGTCGAGTTCGAGCCGGCACGCTTTCGTCCAGCTGGTGAAGTGGTTAGTCGAGCATTTCGCATTGAAGAAGTCCAAAAGGTTGCAACTGCTTTACTTTCGATGACATAAGTCATCAATGTCGAGCAATCATCGGCATACGCGTTCACTGAAACTCGTTCTGGTGGAGTTATCGTCTTAACCATCTAAACGGAGGCTTTGAAAATTTTGCTCGACGACGCATTTCCGTGTTTATTTCAATTTATTTCAATGGTGAGCTCTATCAAATAAGCTTGGACAACGGTTTGAGCAACAAAACACACATACATATGTCGTATCTTCTAATTAAAAAACAAAATATATATATATATAAGATACATTTTCACTCTTTCTAACTACATATTTAAACAACAAAATTGTTTATGTTTATTATAATTATTATTATACATTTGCTCGTTAGCATTATGAATTGTTTATGAATATAGTACACTTGATTATTTTTCATTTCATAATTTCACGGAATTTTCTTTATTATTATTATTTTTATTTGTTTCATACATACAACATAATAGTAGTAAATTGATTTATTTATTTTTGTATAATTGGAAAATATAATTTTATTATTATTCGTAATTTTGTTATCGATTAGAAAATAACTGTTTATGTACGTATTGTAATTTTCCCATATGCATATGCATACATATATACTACATATACATAATTTCTTCTTTTGTTTTTTTTTTTTTTAAATTTAAACAATTATAATAATAATAATTATAATAATAATAGTTTATCATTTATAAATGTGAAATAAAAAAAGGAAATTTGAAATTAATTACTCAATTACTTTAAATATATAAACAGCATACTTTTCGTCTTCATCACACCATACAAATTGGTTTCTTTTTTTTTTGTTTCTTCTTTTTTGCTTTTACTCTTTTTTTCGTTTGTTTGCATTCTAATAGTAGGTAAATATATTTATATATATATAAATGTATATATATATATATATATATGTAAGTATATATATACTTGCTTACACACACTAACCGAAAGTGAATTTCAATTTGGAATTGCTAATTATATTTATTATAGAGATTTGCGAATTGCTTGACACATGCGAAAATTGACTTAGCCCAAGAAAAATAAGAAAAGAAAGAACAAGTAAACAACAAGATATTAAAATAAAATGCTAACACCGACATCGCTGCACCGACTGAGCTCTTTACAAATATTATGAAGATGTATCTACAATTATATATATATATATATGTATATATATGTATATATATGTATAAATATGTATATGCCAGCTGTTATATACATGCACTGAAGTGTTACACATATGAGTATACATTTACGTAGATATATGTATATGTACATATGTACGCGTGTAAAGGTTACGCCCATAGAAACAAGTGCTAAATGCATAACTCTTTCGGCTAACACAACATCACACTCAAGCCTACATACACAACAGCATATGTGTGTATGTATGTATGTACATATTAACAATATTGCGACGTACTCATTTTGACAACTGCCGCCTGAAATGCTTTTAACATTGTTATAAACGTGATATCAGCGAAAAGAAAAAAATATTCAACAAGCCTGCATATTTCCTTTGCTCTCATCAATGTTTGCAATATGATTTGAGTTTAGTGATTCCTTATGAATTTCAATTATTTTACTTTTATTTTATTTATTTAATTTTTTTTTTATTACTGAAAAATTTTACGTTTGAACTCTCACTTAGTATTCATTACTAATTATATGTATATTTAATGAATATGTTTATTTATTTGTAACTTTATCTCAAATGTCAAATGTCGTTGCGTTTATAAAGTGTATGTGTGTGTTTGAGTGTGGGGGGGAGAGGGCAAACATAATCTGTTATTTGAAATACAGGCTGGTGTGTGTGTGTGTGTGTGTGTGTGGTTATTGGTATGTTGCTGTTGCTGCTGCTGTTGATTGATTGATGTTGGCGCTGAATTGCGGTGAGGAGCTGAAAAGGGCTGTGTAAAGTATTTTCCTTCATTTGGTTTTCTTCTTAATGTTTTTTTTTCTCTTTTTTCTCTCTTTATATATATTTTCTATTTTCGTTTTTTAATGTGACTTTATTTTAATCTATTTTCCAGCATTATCATCATTATATCATAATTTTAATTTTATATATTAATATTTATTATTATTATTTGTTGGTTGCTTTCCCACCACTCAACATCATCATCATTCATCATCTTTGCTTATTTTTTGTTTGTTTTTGCTTTATAATTCTTATTTTCTGTTTTTTCTCTCCTTCTCTTCTCTTTTTAATTGTAATTTAAATATTTATTTTTTTATTTATAATTATCAGCATAAATTTCTCAAATCTCTCGTTGGAAATTTCATTTTCTGCAAGTAGATAAAAGTACATATCTGGTTGAATGGATAATTGGAGATTGTGGCGCTTTTTAATTTCACTTTTTCACTTACCTACAAAAGGACATCACTTGCAGCAATTGTTTGTTTGTCGGTTATTTTCATTATCATTCAGCCTTCTACCAGCAGGAGCGCCTTGATTATTTGCTCCATCGTTTTTAGGTAATTTCTTAGCTGGAAGAGAAAGATAGAAAGAATTGTGCTTTTAAATATCAATTTATGTAACTTTATGGTTGCTGGAAATATCGCGAAAGATAACGTTATGTTAGTCAGAATGATCTCCTCCTTTGGGTTGAATTTTGAAAAAATTTTCGCGTCTAGACTCAGCTCAAGTGAAGCTTTGTATATTTCCATTAACCTATGGTTTTGTTGTTGCTACTGTTTTTGTTGTTGTTGTTTTTGTTGTAGATACAAGTCGAACATCACTTAGAACCACGCAAGTCATATTGGTCGACGAATGGGAAGTCCGGAAAACGGATCCGGCCAGAGGGAGAGAGGGCATAGATGAGTGCATTTTAAGGGGCTTGCAAAGAGGTGATTATTGTCGTCACATTGGGCGGGGGTTCAGGTCTGGATAAGTAAGAATTTAGTACGCTAAAATATCCAGATCTCAGTTCTGCCATATGCTCGTATATATATATATATATATATATATATATATATATATATATATATCTTGATAACCGCTGAAGCGATTTTCGGCCGAGCTCATCCTCCAATTTGGGGTTTTGCATCTTGATGTGTTTCCAACAAATGGAGGGACCCAGAGTTTATACTAAGCTGCCTCCGAACGGCTAATGGTTTTTTATGAGGAGCCATTATTTTATGTCATAAATACACTCGGCGGGGTTGCGACCGCAATTAGAAAATTTTGCTTAATTTATTATTTTAAATTAATTTTCTATAAATTTTTGGTTGTTAGTACAGGTTCAAGTAAGTAACAGATTATCTATATCGATGAGGCCACCTAAGGTAGGTATACGAAACAAGCTGATTCAATAGGCTCGGACCAGAGGAAGATGGTTTTATAGGTCCTGCAGAGTGTCAGAGTCAAGTGTGGATACGTAAGAGTTGAGTCGACTGTTCTTTTTGTTGTAGCAGCTTTTCCAATCCCGCTGGGGGAAAAGTTAATTAGTCTAAGTCACCGAGATCAACTAACGGGAAGATCAGGAAACGAGCTGGTTCGACGGGTTCAGGCCAGATGGAAAGCGGGGTTTGTGTCGTGCGGGGACTCGTTACATGCTGGACATCCGTTAAGTATTTTGGGGTCGCGTCTGAAGTTGCTGCTCTCATCTCAGCCGACTCTACGCACCGGAGTTAACACGGATTTTATCTGACCAAGGGGTCACGTTTAGGTCAACAGGTAACATTAGTCTAAATGAAAACAACGCTTATCTAATATGAGATCTTCGCTAACTCTACCTCCAGCAAAAATTTGCCCGAAAGTAGTTTTTGGGAAATGCTACGGCCGACTGCCGCGAGGACTTTTGGATCTTAGTCGCCTCTTACGGCAGGCTGCCTTACCGCGGGAAAATTCTGGAACCCCTACACCGTAGAGGCCTGTACCTTAAATATATATTGTTTCCGAAAGGTCAGAAACTAGATGCCGAGATCGAGCAATCTCCATATGAGAATTCAAGAAGACTGTTTAAATTTCGTTCAGTTCGTTTGTTAGACCTCGCATTGTAAAATCTTGTTTATTTCTAAAGTGATAAATTAGCTTAGCGCCAAAGCCATAGATTCCTTATCAACCAACTCAAAATTATTCCTTAATATTTTCTCTTCAATAATCAAGACCTCGAAACATTAATATGGATCAAAGAGGCATTTAGAAGCATTAGCTATTCCTACACACACACACTTACCAATAGCTAAGAAGATATCATTCACATTCATTCCCGTTTTTGCCGAGGTTTCCATAAAAAGTAATCCGTTCTCTTCGGCATATTGCTTTGCTTCTTCATATTCTACAACACGAATATTTGATAAATCCGCTTTATTGCCAGCCAGGGCAATAACAATGTTCGGTGATGCCTGAAAATAGTGAAAATAGAGAAATTGTTATTAAATATATGCTAAAAAATAAAAAATTAAAAAATTAAAAAAAGATAATAAAAGGTCTATTAGAATAGGGCAGCTCAGTAATAAATTAATATAATATAATGTGGAATATAAATTTGAATTTTATATGCAAACTTTTAAATTAATTAATTGGTTTTGTGTAATTCCCAGTAACGGTTGTTATTCAGAATTCAGAGTTTTAAGATTAAAGGAGAGCAAGGCTATCAGTATTATTTATTAAATTTTTTGTTTATCAACACTTCTTTATCCATCGCAACAACAAAACGCCCACTATTAAATAAATATTATGAATGGTCATACGAATTAAATTTATAAATATGAATGTATGTGTTTAATTTGCTGATATAAAATTAACTTAATCAATGGGATAGCCGCTGAAACATGGCTCAACTGGTTTGCGGTCATTGGCTACAGAAAGACAGTAACAGCACAAATAAAAATATGCTTTTTTTTTTTAAAGTAAAAAATATTTTTTTTTTCATTTACCAAACAAACAAAACAAAAATTTGGCACACATGATCAAGCCCAGCGTAGTCGCTACAACCACAAAAACAACTACAACGAATTGTGAGCATCACGTATAGCAAAAATATGGAGTAAAAAAAAAAATTGTATAAAAATGTCACTTTAACGCCAACAGCTAATCAGTAAGCTCATCAGCCGCATATTTCAAAGAACCGCCACAATTTTGTTGTATTTTCTTTAATTTTAATTTAATTTTCTTTAATACAGAAACTCACTTGTTTATGCAGTTCCTTGACCCAGGTTTTTGCACGCTGAAAACTGTCTTGATTTTGTATGTCATACACAACGATGGCGGCTTGTGCACCACGATAGTACATAGGAGCTAAGCTGTGATATCTGCAATTCGAGAAAACAAAAAAAAAAAACAAATAATTAATAAAATACGAAAAATAGCAACTGTCAACTCAAGTCACCTTTCCTGACCGGCCGTATCCCAAATTTCAAATTTCACCACCGTATCCTCTATGCAGAGTGTTTGTGTCAGAAATGCAGCGCCTATCGTACTCTCCTGATATTCATGGAATTGCCCCTTAACGAAACGTAGCACAAGCGATGATTTGCCCACCGCCGATTCGCCCAGTAGTACCAATTTGAATTGGCAATTCTTATTTTGTTGTGTACCATTGGGGCGTTGAGCTGAGCTGCCGCTGGCATTACCACCGCTACGTGCTGTTGTTGCCATCGTCTTGTTGTTGCTTCTGTTTATGTTTCTGTTGTGTAATTTGTATGATTTTCCGCCAAGTGTTTGCTGCTATTAACTCAGTGGCACTTCCCACGCTGCCGTAGTCACAAATGTTGGGTTATAAAACTTTATAACTTGCGCCTAAAATTTATTCAGTTGATTGTTGTTTTCTTTTGGTTAACTATTATTATAATAATGCTTTATTATATTGAATGTATGTGTATGTGTATTGTTTGTTCGATTCGGTGCGAATGTGTTTGGTTGAAATGTTCTTCTTGTGGAGCTTAATAATGCAGCTGCAGTTCAAACCTTTACTTAAAAGGGACGGCCGATGTTGTCAGGTGTTCTTCTTTATGTTCAATTTAACGGTTGATCTGTTAGAAAGAAAGAGGGAAAACATTAAAAAATTATGTTAGCCATAAAAAATAAAAAATTAATATTTTTGATATAAAAACATTTTCTGGATTTCGAATTCCGAGTAAAATAAATAGAAGTTCTGTGACAACTCTAATGCATGGAACCAGCTATAGTGAGAGTCCTAGCTGCTCCGTGGGACCAAAGTAATCCTGGTGCATTTAAAGTCTGAATATTTAAGACTCTCTATGCAAACTCGATTCCACTATTCGCAACGTACATATGTATACGAGTATGAAGTAAAGTGCATACCCGCTAAAATCCATTATTCCAGCAATTCTTTCTCGTCCCGTAGGAACTGCTCTAGTACCGAACTGATACAACAACAACAACAACAACAGAGCAAGAAAAATATTACCATCTCCTGACTCAGGGCTCTGCAGCTCACGTGTTGAATTTCATACGGAGAGGATTTTTTTATGAAGCGTAAGGTAGGTGATTAAGTAGAGTAGTTCCATTTCACGATTCCACTAGTTATACATCACTTTATTCTCTATTACCCAATTAGAAATGACCATGTATATCTCGTGCAGCTCAAGGCTATATCTTGTTCGTTAGGTTCGTGGCACAAAACCCTTCTCTCACAAAATTCTTGAGCCGACTCATCCGATGTTGTCAACATGGACGTATCTGCACCACAAACACTGAATTTTACTGTCTGTTGATGATTTCAGCTTACATTATATATATAAATAATTGGCGCTCTGTAACCGCTGAGGCGATTTTCGGCCCAGCTCCTCCTCCAATTTGTGGTTTTACGTCTTGATGTTTTTCCAACAAATGAATTCTTTCAGCTTACTCAGGTATTTGTTGATGGACCTTGCTCCCTGCATAGGGCAGTGTGCTAATCACAGCTTTGACAACTTAATGCTGACTTTCGAAGCTGGGAGTTCGGAGAGTATGCGCATCAGAGACTCTGGAAACATCCATGTATGCATATGTTCTGTCTCTCACAACAATGATTGTTTGGTTTGTAGCCTTTCAATATGTTTTCTTCTTTTTTGGATCTGAAATTATGTTACGAACCCCATCCAGGCCGATCAGCTTCAGTCCAATCGAAGAGGGTTCATCATGAAGGCAGTTGTACCAAATATACCTTCTACGTTTGTACTGGTATTGAATTCTCTGAACTCAATTTTAACATCTAGACGGAGGCAACGCTTTAGATTATGGCGATACTTTCGTTCATTTGTAGTGCGTCCGAAGGGACTCTCTTCCAACAGCAAGGCACTGCAATAAATGTCACAATAACGACATTCTCTTCTGTCATTGTTCTTCTTGTCCATCCCGTTATTGTTGTTCTAGCCGCAAAAATTTTCCTGAAAGTAGTTTTTGGGGAATGTTGCGGGATTGACAATCCTCGGCCGGACCCAACCATTATGAGAACTTTTTGATTTCAGACGCCCGTTTCGACAATCACGCCTGACCGCTTGAAAATGCTTGAGCCCCTACCCCCGCATGAGTGCCTATCTCGTTTCGTAGATGACGGCGATGCAAACCTTGATATCTAAGAGGACATCAAACATCTAGATGGCGGCACTTTGCCTATTAAAAGACCGATACGTACAACCTCGTTTCATTATATGGAATACGTATGTATGTAGGTGTGAGGTGACGGGCAAGTATTAGTCACTGAATTATCAAACCTAATGGTCTATAATACACAAAAATTTACTTTTTAGTAACAAAAAATTAAAATTAATAAGTTTAGACCTGGTCATCGGAGGCCACATTTTAATCATTTTACAAATAAATAAAACAAAGCAATGTGCTTTAAACAAAAGAATTTGTTTGCTAAATTCTTAGATTTACCTTGCTGATAAGATAAACAAAGAATAATATGCGTAAGTAATTAATTATTCTACAAGTCAAAACAATGTTTACTAAGTAAAAAAAAAATAATAAAAAATAAAGAAAACAAAGTTAAAATGGAAAAATTCGTTACGTCGACAATGCGGCAAAAGAATGTTGGAAATATTTTGTCATTTTTCGTTTTGCAGACCTCTTTTTTGTAATAGTGCGAGTGTAGCAACAAGTTAAAGCAAAGCGGCAACCCAGTAACAGAAAAAAGCAGAGAAGCAGAATAAGTTGGAATCAAATTTAAACCAAGAACGGGCAATGCATACTTTCTCTTGTTAAATGATAGTAAATTTAGCGACACTTCCGGCGACAGACACAAGCACACGAACTACATATGTATGTATATACACGCCAATCGGTTGTGAGAAACGCTCAATTAAACCCACACACATAACGTCCCAAGACAAGAAAAAAAAAACATTTAACATTTATGACTCGCTATGAGTGTAATTCAATTGTCGTTTGACAATGTTATTGTTGTTGTTGGGCATACAATCATTGCGCCGCACTTTGCCGAAAAAAAAAATTAATTAGTAATTTTCACACTTATCACAATAAACTAGTAAATCTTATGCCTTGTTGTTGCAATTTCTTTCCCCCACTGTAATTTTTACAATCGTCGTCGTCGTCGTCGTCGTCGTCTGGTCTGCCCTTATTTACTTTCATTTCATAACCGATTTTCTACACGCTCACTACGGCTACGGCTTCCATGAGTTATCGCATTCACTATATGCGCTGAGATCTTTGATTGCAATTTGTGAGATTCTACTTCCTCCGCTGGTTAACTCAACTGCATGTTAGATTTTACAGAATTTTTCCATATAGTGTAGTTGCATGATGCTGAAGGTCAATGTATGAACGATGGACCTTATCGACGCCGGCATGTGTTTCTTCATTCTGGAACTCATTCATGAGCGCTACATCAGCAATAATTTTAGCTTGAGCTTTATGTGTGTGTGCCGATTAGCTGAAATTATTTGAGCGTGAGTATATTGGAGGTTATCACGTAAAGTACAGGTCCAAAGAGTAAGCTTGGTGATCTCTACGAATCAGATGGTTATAGTCACACGAAACAGGTAACATGATGAGTTATGTTGTTGGTGCTGTTGTAACCGCAAAAATATTCCCCAAAGTACTTTTTGGGGAATGTTGCGGAAGTGACAGTCCTTGGCCAAATAAAAATCCGGGCGTTCCGGTATAAAACCCGACTGTCGCAGGAACTATTGAATCGCCTTCACGACAGGCATGTCTCACCGCGGGTAAATTCTTGAACCCACTCGCATGGGGCATGATGAGCTGTCTTGTGCAGCACTGTAGTAACATCACTCAACTCCAGTATCTGCTTAAATCATTAAACTGCCTGACTTATTGCTTGGACTGCCAAAATTCCACCTAAAGGCTGCAACTTGCCAACTTGTATTCTTTTAAAGTCAAATTGAATTCGTGCGAAAATGTTTGCACTAATAAAATTTCGATTTTCCGTCTCATTAGCATTTCCTTCTCTTTTTCTCTCATCCATAATATAAGTAAACGAGACGACTGGAAGTTATGACAGAAATTAAGTGAATTTAACAAAGCCATTTGTTTATGATATATCATTGTACATATGTATGTATGCATGTATGTACTTATATAATAGATATATGTTTGTATGTATATGCGCCTTAAAGTTTAAAGTACAAAACAACGAACGAAGAGTGCAATAAAGAAGTAAGTAACCGCACAAGTGAATAACACAAGACACATATGTACATACATACTACATATATTGGATATATTTTTAATGCAATTTTTCTGAACACTATGCATATTAATGTGTGAATTTATTTGTGAATAAACAACATGCTAGTGCAGCGGCAAAAGTAACAATGCTACAATATTTTCTATTATTTTTTATTTTTTTTTTTAAATTTTCTATCTGTACATATGTATATCGGCATGTGCTTTGAGCGCGAAATGTTGCGCTTGGCCAACGAGACGTCTCACTAGCAAACCACTCAGAACTAATACATTAAACGCAAACTTAATTAAACAATAACTCAATAACAAATGAATGCAATGAAAATGTTAAGAAATATAGAAAACATGCTAGCAATAAATGAGAAGAACTAGTATGTACGCTGGAAAAAAATTAAAAGAAAATAAACCGAGTGGCAAATCAACAAAATACATAAAAAAAAAAAAATCAGCAAAGAATGCGGCGTAAATTATGCGGTGAAGGAGGTAAAATGAGCAATGTCAATCAACAGATGATTATAAATAAATAAGCGCGCTCACAAACGCTAATGAGCTATGGGATACCGCAAAGCATACAAATGTTACACATACAACCATAACTACATACATATGTACATTTATTGCTCTAATATTATAAACAAATGCCTTGGCATTGCTGGAAAAACAAAGGCAAAACACTGTGCTTGGTTTTTTAAATGTTTCCACAGCCATGAAGCAAATATAAATATGTTCAAAGTATCCTTATCAACATAATCATTATTATTTGCGGAAGCATCCCGATTCCTTAATGTAATTTTCATATCTGCAGCCAAAAAGCTGCTATTCATGTGTCTAGTAGTTGGACACTCAGGAAAGTTTCATTTAAAAATAAATGGTATTTTATAATCTTTCAGCTACAGTATTAAGCCGCATCAGAAGGGGTGTTTAGATTAGAACAGAAGTTTTTACTTTCATTTTGGAAATGCTATCGAAAAATCCATCGCAATATGCAGATATTATATGGAAAAATGTTTAGATGCTGGCCGGCTATATGATTTTTATATACAATGGCCCTGCATTAAAGTTTCCATTGCTTCATAGCGTACAAAATTAAAATAATGTTTTCTCACATAAAAGCAATTTACTCCAAGCGACAGCAGCTAAAAGTACGTACTAAATAATATAAAACTTGAAAGATCATGTGATGCACTTTGTGAAAACGGAATTGTGTAGAGATAGCGATAAAATCGTGCCAAACACCTTTGAGAATAAACAAACAATCTGTTAATACAAATATGTCAAATTCATAAAAAGAAAAGAGCAAAAATAACTTAACCCGTCAACGCAAATCCATAAAAAGTCTGTTTTTTTTTAAAATACAAAAATTATTGGGTACATTTGCATATAAAATATGTATGTAGGTACAATATACATATACATATGTATATTTGTATATGCAAACAAGCGTATGCAGTTAAGTGTATTCAAAACCAATGATAATAAGTAGGTACTCAAGTAAAGAAATCTGTACCTGCAAAGTGAGTTAGGCAAAAAAAGTTTAATTATATCGTATTGCCAATTTGAAATTATAATTTATGTTAAAAATTTGCACATTATATGAGAAACATATTGGAGCACTACAACAACACCTGTAATTCATACCATACGCACGAACATCGACCACTGCGTCATGCATGAAGTCAGCAACTTACGCACAGAATTCACTGTTTTTCATACAAAACGTTCAACTTCTTATTGTAAATACACCGTATAAACATTTATAAATACACAAACTGAAAAATTCAATAAACAACAGCACATAATTTTTTAGAATGAGGGAGCCCTTAACAAAGCTAAGTGAAATTTAATAAAGCAAACAGCTGATACTGTTGCAAACGACGACAAACGATGCGTCACCGTGTCACTGATATAGAGAAACACGAGAGTAAAGCAAAACGGGTGAATATAATTAGAACGAGAAACGTCAAGTGTAGATTTTGACATATTTCAACATTTTCCTACATCACTTTACTTATCGTTTATTTTGCTTGGTGATAAAGAAAACTAAGATTAATTTAGTCGCTTTTTTCTGAATGAATGTAAAGCCTGCACCATTCTGGCACTTTAGAACAAATGAACCTCATTGGAGAAAGTTGTGGGCGTTTTCAATTAATTGCTATTTGCACACCATTAGTACTAAGCCCCTTAAATTACTGAAATATTATGCGCTTTATCTCAATAATTCAAGTGAACAGAATTAGCATCCACAATTCTAGTAATAATATCATTTACCTTATCAGCGTATACAGAATTCTAAAGTTTTTAGTAAATTCCAAAAAACTTTATAAGCAGTGTTTAAGCTGCGATCCGCTTAAAATTTTTATGGCTTTTGTTTTGTTACTGAATACCTCCTCAACACTTTTTACCAATATCTTCTTAACTGTGGGGTGTATCGACATTCATTACATGTAGTTATCCAAAGTTGATTCAATAAAGCAGAAATCAGTTAAACAACAATCAGTTAAAAAAGAAAATGAGGCAAAGATAACACAAGTTAAAACAAATCACAGTCATTCGCACAACACTCTTTTTATAATAACTGACGATTTGGGCAGGAAACCATATGTAATTTAATATTTTTGCGAGCTCCAAGGTGAACGCCATCTAATCTTCAACGAATTGCGACGTAAGTGCCAGTTCCAGCAGTACAAAGAAGTCGTAAATTTAATTAAACAAAAGCAGAGACACACACAGCAGCCTCACTGTCGTCGCTTACAACAGAGAAACTCGGCATTTATGCACGGAATATGCAAATTATCTTATGGATTTCATACTTATTAACTACACGCAACTATTGCAACTTATTGAGCACTAACTTTTCTTTTTAAATTTCGCACGAAATATTATCTTTTGTAGGGATTTTACGTTTTTACAAATTTTGCGAATAGCAACTTGAGAAATGCACTTTCTAACGAGGCGTTTAATTTGGCAGCACTGTTATAAATTAAATGTCACCCACCCATGACAACGTGTTGTCCTACTCTAACAAACCTTCCAGCCAATTGCACCCACAATGTTTTCATGTACCGATACATTATTCATCACACTCTAACAAGTGCATTGGTGTGTGTGCACTGTCATTATAAAAAAAAACTCATGCTACTTCGGTGATTGTTCCTCCCGATTCCCCTGTTGCTTTTAACTGCTCCTCTAGCATCCATAAACACCACCATCATTGCGATGACTCGTACATGGTACACTATTTTTTCATGGAAAAATCCAAAACTTCATTGCTTCTCCAATAATTAATCGTTCTGTTTTTTTTTAACAAATCTCAGCGCCCCAAAATACACACAAATATCGTGGAAATATGTTCACCTTTGAATATTATATAGTTCACTTTTGTTCTTCAACAATGGGCTTACAAAGCCGCCTCCTATTTTATGGAATTTTCTGCTCGAACCGCACAATTATTTAATGTTATTTCTTATAATGAAAACAGCACTTTCTCGTACAAATTGCAGATCACACAATACGTGTTATGTGGTGATGACAAATAGCTGTGCATGTAGACAAATGAATTGTTTTGGCAAGTCGATTATCGATAGTTGCACATTTCGATTATCTTGTTTTCTTTAATTTGTAGAAATTATACAAGTAAATTTTATTTTTCGAAATTCTAGTATTTGATAAAGAAATAATTTTTGTTTACGTTTTCTAAATGAATATTAAATGAAATATAAATTAATAAATGTTAAATGAATTTGAGCTGGCTCTTGCAATGTAAGCTTTTAGCGGCATCTGTTGACAAATCGGATCTTGTGCTCATCTGCAGACGAAATTGGGAAATATGGTTTGAGAGAAAGCATTAAGAAAGTTTTGGTTTGTGGCTTTGCTAATAATCAATCTCTATTTCATTTTCAATTAATTTTTAGTTTTGACTTTCTTGTAAGTTTTCGCATTGACATTAATTAAAAATATATGTGAAAGTGAAGAAACGAATGAATTAAGCGGAGAAACGAGTTGGTTTTTTAAAGCTGACGTTACTCAATATTAGCTGTGCTCGTTGAGAAACGTCAGTGAAAACTATTGTAGCTAGTAACGAAATTGGGAGAGTAAGATGTCTTACAAAGAAAGAAATGTACTGAAACGAACAGGATCCAGTAAAAATTCGCCAGCATGTTGTATAACAGTGTTTTAATAAAACTACCGCTACGGAAACCATTGGTTTTCGGCAGTACCAGAAGAAAAGCTGGTACGATGGCGAATGTAGAACTGCAGTGGAGATAAAACAGACTGTCTACCTCGCAACTCTGCCATCGACCACAACAGGTGCGGGGTGGGATAGATATCGAGAGCTGAAGCAAGATGCATTTGCAGACAAAAAAAGAAAGAGGCCGAAAAGTGTGAGTACGAAGAGCTTGAAAAACTGGCCGACAAGGGTAGTGCTCGAAAATTTTGTAAGAAGATACGGTGACTTACGGAAATAACGGAGCAACTCTTGTAGAACCCAGAGGGGTGATTTAGTGACGGATTCCCAGAGCATACTGAATTTATGGGGAGAACATTTCTCCAGCATGCAGAACGGCAGTGAAAATGAAACACTCGGAGATGGTGAAATGGAAATCCCAATCGATGACGATGGAGCAGACGTTCCGTAACCTGACCATACGATTGCCCGCTTAAAAAACAACAAAGCAGCAAGGGCTGACGGCCTACAGGCAGAGCTATTCAAACACGCGGTGAAGAGCTGATAAGATGCATGCAACAGCTTGTTTGCAAAATATCGACCGATGAAAGCATGCCACGATTGGAACCCAAGTGTACTCTGCCCAATCCACAAAAATGGCGATCCCACAGTCTGCGCCAACTACCGTGGGATAAGCCTCCTTAACATCGCGTATAAGATCCTATCGAGCGTTTTGTGGGAAAGACTAAAGCCAACCGTCAACAAATTGATTGGACCTTATTAGCGTGGCTTTTGATCTGGTAAGTCAACCATTGACCAGGTATTCACCATGCGACAAAACTTCGAAAAGACCCGCGAAAAGTGGATCGACACCCACCACCTCTTCGTCGATTTTAAAGAAGCCTTCCACAGCACGAATAGGAGCTGCCTTTACGAGGGTATGTCTGAATTTGGTAACCCCGCAAAACCTATACGGCTGTGTATACTGACGTAAACAAAAGTAGCGCAGTCAAAATTGGAAAGGACCTCTCCGAGCCGATCGGTACTAAATCAGTTTCAGTCAGTGTCGAGTGATAAGAGCTGCAGAGCTGAATAGAGAAGGTAAAATCTTCTATAAGAGTGTACAACTACTGGCGTACACCGATGATATTGCCATTATCGGCCATAACAACCTCGCCGTTAGTTCTGCTTTCTCTAGACTTCATAAAGAAGCGAGGCGATTGGGTCTGGTAATGAACGAGGACGAGATGAAATATCTCCTGTCATCAAACAAACAGTCATGGCATTCGCGACTTGGCTCCCACGTCACTGTTGATAGTCATAATTTTGAAGTCGTAGATAACTTCGTCTATATAGGAACCAGCATCAACACCAACAACAATGTCAGCCTGGAAATCCAACGCAGAATCACTCTCGGCAAAAGCGGCTACTTTGGACTGAGCAGGTAATTGAAAAATTAAGTCATCTCCCCAATGAACGAAAACCAAACTCTACAAGTCGTTCATCATACCGGTCTCACTAAATCGCGCAGAAGCGTGGACGTTGTCAACAGCTGATGAGTCGACTTTGGGAGTTTTCGAGAGAAAAGTTTTGCCAACGATTTACACGTATGGTCCTTTGCGCATTGGCAACGGCGAATACCGCAGATGATGGAACGATGAGGTGTACGAGCTATAAGATGAGATTGACATAGTTCAGCGAATAAAGTGACAGTGGCTACGCTGGCGAGGTCATGTCGTCCGAAAGAATGCGAATACTCCAGTTTTGAAAGTTTTCGATGCAATACCTGCCGGTGGAAGCAGAAGAAGAGGAATACATTCACTCCATCGGAAGGATCAGGTGAAGAGTGACTTGATCCCACTTGGTATTTCTAACTGGCGCCAACCAGCGTAAAAGAGGGATAAATGGCTCGCAATAATTAAATCTGTTATAATCGCGTAAGCGGTGCCAACGCCAATAAAGAAGAAGAAGATTCATTTGTTCATCGATGAGTGTCTTGTCCCCATCAAAGTAAACCTCCCTCAGATATAATACACTTAGACCTTCTTTTTTCCAATCCTCAAGACTTTTGAAACGCGTTTTTTTATCGTCTATTGCTCCGGTTTCGATTTTTTTTTCGGTCCTGACTTCCATTGGGATGTTCGGGCTTTTCTTTCAATGTCATAGCCATACCCCCATGATTCCTCACCAGTTATGACCTTTTTGAGGTAATCAGGAGCATCGTTGACGATGTCCAACATCTCCATGCGACGTTGTTTTCACAAAAAGTTTTTGGAACAATCTTCACTGCTTCAATGTTTACATCGGTCGCTCGGGCGACCAAACGCAACCAATGGCCTGCCACGATGTCCAAAATTGTGTTTGGCGACTGTTACGCAGCCTGTTCAAAGAAGGTATATACGGCGCAACTGTCAGAAAATTCAGTCTCCACGACGAAATATAACCAAATGGGTTTAGGCTGATCGACTTCGACGGGTACTCACAAGGAATTTTTTCAAGCAACTTGACTCCACATCGATCATATTGCGATAGACGAACGACAAGTCTCTATTGTCTATAGACTAAAGCACTCATAGTCAACGGTAGTTCAAGCTCCCTACGTACAGTGTGACTTTAGATCTAGTAAATCAACCATTGACCAGATATTTCAGAAAATATCAATAAAAAGTGGAACGAGTCACACAACCACTTCGTTGATTTTAAATCAGCCTTCGACAGCACGTGGAGGCGCGTAATTTCTGTATATGAGGCTGTGTAAGCTCACGTTAAGCAACGCCAACAGCACTTTGAAAATAGATAAGGACTGCTCCGAGCATACCAAGCGCGGTTCCAGGCTAGTGTGATTTCTTATCATGTGATTTCTTTCATTTATTATTGATGAGCTGCGGAGCCGAATGGAGGAGGTACAATGCACTATAAGAGTGTACAGCTGCTAGCGTACGCCCCTGATATTGGCATCATTGGCCTCAGCAACCGCTGCGTGGACTTGGCTTTATTTGGTATTTGAAAATGGCGCGCTGCTGTCAACTCGGCTATGATCGCGTGAGCGGTTTCTACGCCAGTAAAGAGGAAAAGATACGAGAATCATGTGCCTACACTCCAATGGCCCCTACAAATACAAAGAACAGATGTTTTTTTTTTGTTCCGCCGTTGAGAGCTTCACAATTTTTCAAACTTTATTCAATTTCATTATTCGCCACAAACTTCAGAACATTTCGAATATTTCACGAATATACTACAAACTAATTTCTACAATTTTTATGTATGTAATGTGAGTATTTACGTAATAATTTACTTAATTGGTTAATTACGCATATTATTTCCATTTTGAATAATATGAATTGGTATATATGTATTAATATATGTATATTTATATATATATATATATAACTCATTATCGGATGAGTTATGAACTGGAAAATATATTCTTAAATTAAAATGCGGCCGATGCGCTGGACGAGATGTTGTTTGCCAGGCAACACCGTTACCGCGGCCAGGTGACTTCTAATAATCTATACATATGTAAGTATATGCGTTGACGCTATTGATTGCTAGAACTGTTCATTGATAACTTAACTATATTATTTATTTATTTATTTAATACAATTGTTAGATCTTACAATTATTTATTTATTGTATGTATGTATGTATATTGATTCTGTATTTACAAGACTAACTCATTTCTTATAACTTTTTCTTAACCTATTTAATTGTATTTTTAATTTAATATTCAAATCGCAACAAACATGGCGCATAAATATCTCAACGCCGAGTCTCTGTCATTGTAATTTTCTTAATGCATAAGCCTTGCCCGCTCAGCAGAGTCAGCGCCAAAAATGTATCTAACCATTTTTTTTTTGGCAAGTGTACACTGCCAATCAGACATTACAATGAGCACGACTGCCGTGCCAACTCAAACTCCTTCCCATTGGCGGGTGCATACAAAGTGGAGTGGCATTTCTTTAGCCTCACCGCAAGCAGCTAAGGATAACGGCAAGCAAATAGTAGCGCACAAGTATTCGGCTCCTCTCTGATTGGCCAGTTTCGTTGCCGACTTGTACACATCACTTCCGCATCCTTTCTGGTGTTTGCAGCCAATGAGCGTAATGCCAATTTGCTTTACGTTTCTGTTGTTGTTCTCGCTATATTATATATTCCAACGGCGCGCTCATACTACCACCACGGCACATTCGCGCTCGTTCTCTCACTAACCCACACTCGTGCACACTAATCTCAGCGCGTGGCCACCACTTAACCAACACCACTACCACCACCACCACCACCCCCAAGTGATCTGCACAGCGAACGGATGTATACATCATTTAGAGGGCAAAAACGTGAGCTGTATCCGACACCCAGGCGTATGAGTGACGCCT